CGCTCTTTCAAATACCGGCAACAGATCCATGCCAAGCATCCGGCAACGTGGCTATGAATATCAATGTGGCCGATGATGTTCGTTACCCTATTATTTTATTATTATTTATTTATTTAACGCGGTCACTTTCTTTCCTCTCTTTTAATATTATTACATTAAATTCTAACCTGTTAGACCACGATAATATTCATCGATACATGTAACAATATTTATTAAATTATGGAGATTTAAAAGGTGCTTTGCATACTTGTAATTGTTACATTAAATGTTCATAATAATTTGTATTTTTCGTTACATCGAGGAAGTATTAATTACTAATGTGCAGTTTTATAGTATTCGTTAATGTTTAATGCTGTTGATTTTGTTATTTGATGTAGTTTGTGTTTTTGTATTCGGTAATGGGTAATATTTTTAGTAGTTGTTCAGAAATATATTAATATCTGTGTGGTATTATTATTATTTATTTATTTATTTTTGGCAATATCGTCTGATGTGATATTTTTATTCAAACTATAATTCGACTACCTTCCACTACAATTTCTATTTATTATCGCAGCGTAACTGTCGTATTTTTTTAGGCTTTTCAAACTTAAAAATGTAGGTGTCAGTTGAATTAATCCCATCACTACTGGCCGTGATACCTCCACTTCGTCATAGAATCCGTTTCAACGACAAGATACATTGCTTCTTGGTTCTTAACATACTCGATGATCAGTTAGAGTCTACTAGAAACATCGGGCTTTAATCTGTTCAGCGGGAAATATGAATTATCGCGCCATTAGTGATGGAAAATACGAGTGATTAATTTATCAACTTTTGACAGTTACATGTATATAAAGACTAAGAAAACAATAGTTAGTCTCGAGTAGCATAACTATCAATCATAATTTATCATAATAATTTGTAACATACTTTATTATATTCGTCGTTGTATTGTAATTCATTACAAATGAGTAATTAGTATTCCATAAAGACAACAGTTGTGTCGTACATTTAAGATTTATAAATGAAAAATATTCCGATTATAATTACCTTCTGTGTATTAATATTAATTAACAATTAATTAATTATCTATTATCACAATCACTCCGCGCAAATATACAATATAAAATATTTAAAAGATATTATACAAAATATAAAATATTTTAAGCATTACAATTAAGCATAAAGATAAAGTATAAATAGAATTCGTAGGAACGCATAATTCTTTTTAAACAAATTTATCAGATTTTATATTTAAACTGCTATAACCGTTATAGCAGCACGAAGAAGCTATAACTTCCGTTAGAGGAAATAAAAGAAATTTCCATTTTTGCACGTTCAATTTCCACTTTCGAAAAGGAATTGTAATGCCATGTATGTCTCTGCTAAACGAGTACGATAAAATACTGGCGCGTGTGTAGCAAAGATAACAGTACGTCTTCCACGCCTGACTTCTACATCTTGTTTGTGACACACATTATCGTGTTTACAATTTACGTCCTATGAATTCTTATAGCGAATACGTTCGCAGATAGCGAGTACATAAATAAACAAAATAATTCAGCGAACGTTTCGTAGATCCTAATCGGCTCATCCCGGCATGAAGTTCCTTAGCAAATATGATACAATAACGTGTCTAGGTGAAGTAGCTTAGGTCAGCTTATCGGATTAAACGTATCAGCTTTAAGTTAAGCGCGTTAAATCTGAATTCGTAGATTAAGCAAATTAAATTTAAGTTGCTTCGTTAAGCACGATAAATTTCGCAGAATAATTTCACCTGTAAATGTTTCAACGAAGCCTGAAATTGCTCCTGTGTACCCCGAAAACTTAGATAGCGTTCGTCTCGCGTTAAATATTAGTTTCGGTTAGGTTGGCTGGTTAAACAGATCTTTGTTTATCTCGTAGCCTGTGTTCCCGCTATACATAAATTATCTCGCACTCGGACAATAAACGTCGAGATAAATCATTTATTATACCTAAGGTATCGCGTTTACCTTAAACAGCCATTCCGATTAAATTTTAATCCCAGGCTAACGTCCCGTTTACACGAAGCCTACGTACTCTACCTGCGGAAACGAATTCACTCGCAGCCCTAAAACCACGTCACGAATCGTGTGTGAGAACAAAGGATGAGCCACTCCTTTATTCAAACCAATCAACTTTCCCCAATTTACGCCAACTTTAAACTCGATTCGAACGTCACTTTTACCTGCGAAACCAAAAGGCCTCGGAGCTTTAACCATCTGGTCCTTTGACCCTGACGAATCACCTCGAATGCCTCGGACACGGTAACATATAATTATTACAAAGTACTGCTCATGAATTATTGCATTGGCTCGCGTTCAATGTCAAAATGACACCACAGATGTCGTCGACACTCGGTATCATCTGCACAGTTCGTAGCTGCAGATTTAAATAATTATTTACCTTCGAAGTTCAATTTAATATCACTGACTATACACTATGATCAGCCAAGTTTCATCGTGCTATGGATCACTAGGCATTGCAAATATTATCTACTGTCAGTTTAGCCCCACTACGCCCCATTGGATAACCCAAATATTAAAGAGTACTGTTTCCACGTAGATCATGATTAGGGATACAACGAATTATTTGGTTTCATCTGTGAAATCAAAAAGTCTCTAAACTTTGACGATGTGGTCCTTCGACCCTGACGAATCGTGGCAAATAGCTCAGTCACGGTAATATATAATTATTACAAACTATTGCTCATGAATCATTGCATTGGTTCGCGATTAATGCCAAAATGACACCACACATGTCGTCGACACTCGGTTCATAACTGCAGGATTTAAATAATTAATTACCTTCGAAGTTTGATTTAGTATCACTGACTATACACCGTAATCAAGTTTTATCATGCTATGTATCACTAGGCATAGCGAATAATATCTACTGTCAATTTATCCTCACCACGCTTTATTGATTACACCAAATATTGAAAAGTACCCTTGCCACGTAAATCATGATAGGAATACAACGAATCACTTGGTTTCACCTGCGAAACCAAAAAGTCTCGAAACTTATTACAAACTACTGCTCATAAATCATTGCATCGACTCGCGATTTATATCAAAATGACACCACAGATGTCGTCGATACTTGGCTCATAGCTGCAGGTCTAAATAATTCATTAACTTCGAATTCCAATTTAGTATCACTGACTATACACCATGATCTCCCAAGTTTCATCGTGCTATGTATCACTAGGCATCGCAAATGTCATCTACTGTCAATTTACCCCCACTCCGTTATTACGAATAAAAACGTACGAAAAAGAACTCTTTCCTAGTAAACCATTATCCGAAATACAATAAATCATAGAACTCGTTTTGAATCGAGATCGTACGTCACCGACCAACTCGATCATCTTCCCTTTTCCACGTATCTCGAGTCACCGTGTCAAAGGTCGAGGCACTTGTTCTTCCAAGCCGAACCAATTTTACGGTCGCGTTGTGACCTTTGAGGCAACCATACACGCCATTCTTCATCCCGTTCCGCTGAAGCGCTGCCAAAAAGAGACGAGAATTCTCTGGTGGACGTACGCTGCGTTGGAGCACTAACAGGTGTTCAAAGGACCCAGGAAGCAGGCTGCGAAGCGTGCGCACGCAGTCGGCGTGGATCTCAACCACCCTTCCCAGGTCGCGAGTAACCCCCGCGGCACAGGCTGAAACTCAAAGTTAGGCGCGCCGCCGAGCCGGACCAGTCTCTCTGTGTTCACGGTAAAGAGAGAAGAAGCGCGGCACGAAATGGCACCCGGCGTGGTAATGGCGCGAAACACTTGACTTGGACGCGGACGATGCGACCTGTTCGCAACGACGATGCGATTCGGTCCGTGCTCGAAACACCGGTGAGATCGCGAACAGATCGTTTCCCTGATTCCGGGCACGAATCTCCTGCTACGTTTTTATGAATGCGTACGTCACTTGGTGAAGTAACATCGCGGAAAAAGCCGGAACAATGTACGGCATGCTGTTGGAGAGTGTGCAGTACTTCGTGCAGGTAAATGTATAAAGGAATCAAGGAAAGAGGGGAAAAATGGAGAGAGAGAAAAAGGAAAAGGATGCACAGCTGTTTGTGAGTGCTACGCTTTTCGCTGACCAGTCTATCCTTTTTGTTTTCGTTCCTCGTTCGAATACCAAGGTATGCCTAATCCGATACCCCTCTGTATGGCTTGTGCGGATTATTTCCCCGGTTTGTTTCATCCCTTATCCGATCGCGCGAGACGACGTGTCAATAGAGAGCAGTATTTTAGACAGAATCGATACTCGATCCGAAATAACGTAATTATCTCGCTGGGAAGGAATGAAAGAGTTACCGAGGAAGGTGAAAGCGGATGTGACGCGTGTATAGGGTGATTCTGGGACGTGGGACTGGTTCTTTAACCCCTCGCATTACGATTTAATTGTGAAAAGTATGCATTAAAGTGATATTTAATTTTAATTAACCTGTAGCTATATTCATAGTCCATGTGAGATGAAACTGAATGAAAAATTTGGAAATTTTTCGAATTTTGTCTATCCTAAAGTGTGTGAAATATGATTATGATTGTGTGATTAGTATAGTTTATAATCGTGAGATTTGATACGAAAACTCGTGTCGAGTTAGACTCATCGTTATAGTGCAAAGAGTTAAGGGAGAGTTGACGATGAAAGGGGTTTCAGTGTGCTTTGTTTATGAGGTTTATAGAGTTATAATTGTACTTTTCTGTTTTTTGTTTCACGTGTTTTATAAAACTCGTGCACTATAACGGTATTTAAATATTTGCTCTTGCATGAAGCGTTTAATATACGTTTTTGGTAATGTATATACAGTATATAGTATACGTGTAAATTCATTTGTTGTCTTTCCTGGTTCCATGAATGATTTGAAATTTGCAAATCTATTAGTTGATAGAAAAATCAAATTTTATGAAGTAACAATTTTAGAACTGTGTGTAAATTAATTTATTATCTTTCCTGGTTCCACGAATGATTTGAAATTTGAAAATCTATTAGTTGATAGAAAAATTAAAATTTAGGAACTAGCAATTTTAGAACTGTATGTGAATTCATTTATTGTCTTTCCTGGTTCCATGAATGATTTAAAATTCGCAAATTTTTTAGTTGATAGAAAAATTAAATTTTAGGAACTAACAAATTTATTAGTATGTGTAAATTCATTTGTCTTTTCTGGTTCCATGAATGATTTAAAATTTGCAAATTTTTTAGTTGATAGAAAAATTAAATTTTGACTATTAACAATTTTAGAGCTGTGTGTAAATTCATTTATTGTTTTTCCTGGTTCCATGAAAAATTAAAAATTTGCAAATCTATTAATTGATAGAAAAATTAAATTTTAGGGACTAACAATTTTAGGACTGTTTTATAGTAAAATAATTGCTAGAGTAAAAATTAGGTGGAATATATTGTTTTTATTTGAAAAGAAAAAAGACCGATTCGTTTAGAATCACCCTGTATACTTGATCCCTCCAATTCGTATCAATTGAACCAGTAATGAAAGTTTTTCCAATTGCAGTGGTATCTTTTCCTATTAAATTTTATTCCTTCTCTTTTATTACGTACTGAACACGAACTACCAACGAAATTTCAACTCGTTATTATCGTAGCATCATCTCGGTGTATCGATTCATATAAAGGATGTATACTAGTACCTGATCTTGTATCGATGAATATATATTTTTATATTTGATAGAAAATGGGTCTTAAATTTATTATTATCGATGGTAAAATTTAAGTTCGTTATTGAAATTCGTTTAAATAAGTTTTTAGTTTCCAAGCAACGTACAGAGTTAGAATAAAATGCAGGACTACGAAAATCGTATCGATCATCTGAAAGTAAGATAAAGCATCTCCAAGTTCTTAGTCGTACAGCTAACGCGTGGTACACATAAATTTTGTTTCACTTAGCCTTTTTTAAAATTGATTATCTCTTCTTACAGCTTTACTATACACTATTAGTACTTTAATACTCTAATAACTCATAATATCAAAAGTGGTTTATCTCTATAAGATTCTTCGATTCTCTAAATATAATTCATAGGTGAAAAATCATAAAATAATTTCATTTTATCAAATTGACTTTACAATTCAATTTTTAGATCCTATTAGTATTTTAGAGTATTTAATATTCGATGTTATATATTTGTTTAACTTTCTTTAATTTTTTAAATAAAATTCATGACTAAAAGTTCATGGAATAATTTCGTAATTAAATTCTGAAGTCCTAACGACAGACTAATAATAGTCCAAGTAATATATCTCTATAATTTTTATTCCATCTACATTTCCAATTTTCTTTAAGCACATATAATTCAGCATAATGATCGTAAAATAATTAAATTCTCTTCAACTAAAGTTCATAAAATATTCTTGAGTTCTAATGATACACTAGTAGGTACTATTCGAAGTAATGATTAATATTCACCATTTATTTCTTTCTTAATTTTCATTCATATTTATATGAACAATGCGAATATTTTTTTATTTGCTATTATTGTTTGAAATATATTTTAAATATATTGGAGAATGTTACGTGTTTGTCTGAAAAATATTATTTAATTTCTTGCGGTATAATGATAAGTCAAATTTGCCATAATTTTTACATACCAGACCATGCAGAGATGAGTTACTTTCCTAATAAGAATAAAATTTATCTAATATTAAAATTTATATTAATATTAAATTTATTATTATTAAATTAATATATTTTTAATTATAATAAATATAATATTAAATTTATCAAGAACATTGGTAATTTTATTTTAGACGAAACAGGTATACAATGCTTGGCTAAAATTAAATACTTTAATTTACAATTTGCAAAGTTATCATGAATCATAGTGCAAGGTTTAATAAACATTATTATTAAATATTTTAGCCACAATCACTGTACGAATACTTTCTATATTCCCTGTCTCCACAAATTTCTCTTCTCTTCTAACTCAACTCTATAATTAATTCGTCGAATTCTCGAAACTAGTGCCACTAATTAATCGACATAAAGCAGCAAATTACGCAGAGTCATATAGTCGATGATACACAGACGCGCATACCTGACGAACTTACCTACACATCGCATGCAACCTTAATCGTATTAAGACAAATAAGAATCCCTTGATAGCTCGCCCTGGGCGAATAAATTAAATTAATCTAAAAGAATTTCTCTGGGAATAGAAACCATAAAAGAACATGATCCGATCTGCAACGTGATAGCTTTCTCCAATATCCTCCTTTTCCCCAGCGTCGAAGATTCACGTCCGTTCTTAATCATCCTGATAAAGTATCCCAACTTGTTTAACTATCGATCACTGAAATAAATATCCCTGCAATCTTCCCGCGGTTTATCCTTTCCGCTTTCCCCAAAACAGTCGCGTGACGAGTGAAACGATTGGTCACGAAGAAATAGTTCCGAGGATTTTTCGAAATTTTGCTGTATCCTTAAACTCCGTGATCAGTCGGCCCCGCGTACTGCGGAGAGGAACGAGATGAGGCCAGAAGGTATATCGATGTGTTTATCAAGAGACGTGCAAGTGGTTGATTTATCGTATCGTCCGAAAATAATCGGTCGTTGCGAAAAGAGTCACGTAGTGGTCGAAGGAAATGGTCTGAAGGTACGCAACGAGCGAGGTACCTGAATATGGATGGATTCAGACTTCCTTTCGGTACAATGCCTTAATTGTACGGGGCTTTAAACAGAGGCTTTAAAAATAGCGTCGTTCTTCCGTCACTCCGCGTTCATTTGTTTTTCTAATGCAACATTATTTATGCATTATCATGTACCAACAATGATCGCCTTTGTAATTATAGCGCGTCGTTCATGGTGGACAGTAGAGCTATTAATCTGTAATGCGTATCTGGATGGACGATTATATTTGCGTTATTATTATATTCTATTTATAGAGATAATTGGATAATGTGTAGATAATTACGATTCAGTAGTGGAGTGGAAATAAGGTTAAGTATGGCCGGTTAAATGTGTCGCGAAATTTGAAGAATATGAATAAATGATCGAGACGAAGGTTGTAGGATATCAGAGGCCATATTTTATGTTGATATTTACCTAACCTTAAGGTGACCCTGAAAAACCTAGTGAAAGTCGTGTTTAAATATTTTAGGGAATTCTATAGTCTTTGTTATAGTCTTTTAGTTGATATCTGATACTGATAACTGTACTTGGAAGTACTTATGTATTGGCTACTCTCTTCTGAATCATTTTTTGGTATTTTTCATATTTTTTAATATATTTAATTGGTGACACGTAGACTGGATACAGTCTGTATAATTATGATACGATATCTTAGGAATGAGTGTTTGCAATAATTTTTCTAGAAACGTACAATTATATGTTCATAACCATTAGGGAGACAATAAGTCCATGACTTGAAAATTTAATAAATTTAGGGTAGTCCTTGGGTTAGGCAGCAATTTATAGCTATTGGTGTTTAACATTAAGCAGTAAAATTACAAGTGTTATTAACTTTGAATTTTAACTTAGTTCATTAATCACCTCTTTCTACCATTTTACTATTTGAAAATTTAATAAATTTTGCGTAGTTTTAGGGTTAGCAAATTTATAGCTATGGGTGTTTAACATTAAGCAATAAACCAAAATAGTTATTAGCTTTGAATTTTAATTTAGTTCATTAATTACCTTTTTCTATAATTTTTCCTATTTGAAAATTTAACAAGTTTAGGGCAGTTCTCGGGTTAGGCAATTTATAGCTATAGGTGTTTAACATTAAGCAGTAGAATTACAAATGTTATTAACTTTGAATTTTAATTTAGTTCATTAACCACCTCTTTCTACCATTTTTCCTATTTGAAAATTTAATTAATTTAGGGTAGTTAGGTTAGCCAATTTATAGCTATAGATTTTTAACATTAAGCAGTAAAATTACAAATGTTATTTACTTTGAATTTTAATTTAGTTCATTAACCACCTCTTTCTACCATTTTACTATTTTAAAATTTAATAAGTTTAGGGTAGTTCTAGGGTTAAGCAATTTATAGCTATAGGTGTTTAACATTAAGCAGTAAAATTACAAATGTTATTAACTTTAAATTTTAATTTATTTTATTAACCATTTCTCTCTGCCATTTTGTAATTTGAAAATTTAATAAGTTTAGGGTAGTTCTAGGATTAGGCAATTTATACATATAGGTGTTTAACATTAAGCAGTAAAGCCAAAATAGTTATTAACTTTTGAATTTCAATTTAGTTCAATTTAGAATTCTACCATTTTACTACCACATACATATTTCTAATTACGTAAACAATTAATGCTAAACTTACTACAGCTTAAATAACTATTTTTAAACTCTCAATTAAAAATTCCTCACTCTCTGTTATATCATTTTAATCATTTCACTTCTCAACTATTTTACATCTACATATATATCTATGTATACATTTTACAACATACTATCATATACATCATGAATTTTTCCATATTTCTTTTCTCATTCCATTTATTTTAAAATTCATATCAATTCGATCATATCAGTCATTTGACCAGTCCAGATACTGGTTCAGTGTCAGAAAATCTGTAACTTATCACGAATCATTGTCAGTAGTACCCATGAACGAAAGAACCCCACGAAAATCGACATCGTACGGCATTGATCGACACTCGATCGCCTTATTCACCCAAATATCTCGAATTACTGTTTCAGAAGTCAGATTACTCGTACTTTTAGGTTCGTCTGATTTTACGACCTCGATATACGAACCAGTCGTGCCTAGTATAGAGTTTCCTCGAGGATGAGGCAAGTGCAAGGAATAAATTTTGTACGAGTGGAAACTCCATGTTCATTAGCATGCGCGTGTTGTCTCGATCGGTTCCTTTGAGTAGATCCCACGAAGTGGTTGCTCTCTTTATGGCTATTGGATACTTCGATTAGAAATTCGAAAATCGTCCAGGGACGATCCTCTGCAGGGATCCGATCTTCGTGAATTTTCCAGACCTGGCCAATCCTCGTCATGACACGACCAAGGGAACGATGTCACGTTTTTATGTAATTTGATTGGAATATAGTTGACAGCTGATTGAGATACGGTTATTCGGAAGAAAGTGATGACTTAGTTCATACGAGACGTTCGCGTGTCTGTCCGCCATGTCGAGTCTCGTGAGGTTTCGTTAATGTGCAGATCGTATTAATTTTCGTGACCACTGTCAATTATGGTGGAAGGGACATCGATTATTCCATAGGGAGCCGGAAATTGGCTTGATTGCGCGAATCAATTTCTCGTGAATATGTAGAACAAATTGCTTCCCGTACGCTTGCGTTTCCATGTGTGTTAAGTGACCACTCTTCGAAACGTAATAACGAATCCTTGATATCGCGTGTACGAAGTGTACTGTGTTTCAGGTGTGTCTGATGGATATCGTATTAGACGGTAGATGGAAAATGAAATAGGGTATACGCGAGATTATGGTTGATCATACCTAGACGTAACGAATGAAATTGTGTATTTTACTTAATTTTGTAAATTGACTATTGTATTGACTAATTTTATTAATTTTGGAATTGAAATGTGAGGAAGAAATTTATGGTGTTAGTTTCGTATTTCATAATTGCATTGGTATGTTTATATTTGAAATTTCGTATTTCGTGCATCGTGTCATTTATTACTATGCTCGATACGTAACTGCGAAAATCGCTATGAATGCAATGGCGGCTGATAAAGTGCATATCCAACGCTGCGTTCTCTTTGGGTTTTAATTTAATGAAAACTACGCTGAAGTTGCAGTCACTTCGACTAGTTTTTATGTCAATACATGCTATATTATATAAAAGATTATATAAAATTATATTACATGTATTTCGAGAGTGATTTTGCGTTCAAAAATCAACCGCATGCTGATAGTTTTAAAAACTCCACGTTTGGAAACAACGTTCTCCAATTACTCGATCGATATTCTCAAAAAGTGAAGAGAAATCTGCATAGAAAAAAGATAACCAAATCTATTTCGAATTTAAAAGGAAATTAAATATACCTTCCATTTACTTTATTCGTTTATTTAAAAATCTACAAAATTCTTTGCCGCGAGTAAAAAGCAAATTTAAATAAATTTCTCTAATTACTCTTTAATTTAATTTCTCTTTAATTTCTCTAGCAATGCTAAACAAATGGATTCTATTTCAATTTATTTTCACGAGCACTAGCACGTACACTAATCTTTTCAAATTTAACTTCACGTATACTCGAGGTCTGGCGATATCTTTTAAAGGATATTGGTAAAAAGGGAAGAAATATGCGTGTATCGTGATTTACACGAAGCATTCAATTTTATATGGAACATCGGCTTAGTTCATAATCATTACTCGTGAATGGCGGCACGAGCTGCACAATAGTTTGCTCTTTGTCTTCCGTGACGATGGAACAATAGGAAGTATGAAGGGAGAAAATATTCCCTGGAGTATAATAGAGACGGCTACACGTTCTATCCTTTTATATCGTCTTTTCTCACTGTTTCTAAGCTACTTTTATCGGAAATCAATCGTCCGGTGGCGAGAAAATCTGCGTGGACAAAGTATAATAATATTGGGACCGAGATATCTTTCTTCGTAGTTTAAACAACAGATCTATTAATTCCGACCCATTAGCAATGAAATGAAATTTTTATTTGCCTCTATAATACACCTAAATAGAATATTATACAAGTACAGTGTTAACCTACAAAGAAGAGTAACAAAGAAAAATTTCCCCTAGATACTAGGGGAATAGTGAGGATACCATTCTCACTCCTTCCTCGTCTTTGTCTTTTCACCGACTTAAATATAACATTGTGTAATATCGAACGTAATATCTTCAAACTGGCCTGTTAATCTGAGTAACAGGCCTCTTAATTCCAACCCATTGAACAACGAGAGAATGCTTTCCCTAGATACTGAAACTCTTATTTGGTCCTCTTTATTCACTCTCATAAGTGTGTTAGTAGATTTTGGAACGGAATTCATAGTTCAAATAATGATTGTATTATTTCCAATCCGTTAAGCAATGAAACAAAATTTTCCTAGAACTAAAACTTTAGCTCAATTATTTTAATCCATTCGTTGATATAGCATGTTTTAAAATTCTGTTAATACTCTTTATGGCACAGGATTTTAGATAATAAAATAGACTCATGTTGCATAGAAATTGCATAGAAATTTTAGTGCGTTTTAAATGAAACAAAATTGGTATAATTTTCCTAATAAAGGAATCACATAATATAAGAACATGCAAAAATAATAATTTAACTGAATTTGTTATAGAGTGGGACACAAATAGTCCCATCGTCCCATGTTAAATGTTAATAATATAAATGAATATATTTGTAACATTTGTTGAAGGTATTACCAACTGCTTTACTTAAATAAGACGAAATATAAATCTATGCAGCTATTGCAATATCTTGAGGTGGGACTAAAGAGTTCAAAAACAAATCTGTAATTTCCAGCCCATTAGCAACGAATGAAAACTTTTCCTTGATACCCAGACCTTGTTCATCCATTCACTCGCATAAGTGTGATAGTACGTCCAAAAATGGCATTCATATGCTAATGAACAATTCTTTTATTTCCAATCTATTCAACGATGAGAAAATATTTTTCTCTGAAGGCTTTTATCCTTGTAGCTTTCATTTTTATTCATTAGCTGGAATATAATATAATATTTCTTGAAAGAGTGACGATTTTGATGAAACGAAACCCAGAATTACGTTCTCGTCCAATTTCTCGACAGATTTAACGCAATCTTCGAAAAATGGATCTGTGCTTCCAAAAGTAATATGAAAAGTAATCTAACCAAACCGGAAAAGTTTGTGGAAAAACACTAACACTGAAAGTGCAATCAAATCCTCGTTACAGTTAGAGTATGGCGAGGAAGTGTGGCTTCAGCTCCTGGAAAGGGCTGATTGCAAGCATATGGTTTTCAACACGCGACAGACGTATCCTGACGAGCTTATGACCACTTTAGCTGCTGCCTTGGCTGAGTTCAATGGAGAATCCAAGGATGACGTGATGCAATTTTTCGGAAAATGTTTCGTTAGATTTTTCAGCAACCTAGGGTAAGTGAATTTTAAATTCTTTTACCTTTGAAGCGTTCTTTTCCGAGAGAAAAATATTTCCAAAAATTACTCGTCTAGTGTGTATCAAACAATCTTATATTACTCTAGAGTTGTGGTCAATGACATGTGAAAACTGATCACTAAATTTTGCAAGATACCAAAAATTATATTTTATTTTTCATTGATGTACCAAAAGAAACAAAATATCTGTACAGTTTTCAATCACATTGGACGATTATTATTGTAAATATATTATACGATTAGATATCAATAACCAGATATTGCCAATACTTCTCGAAAATTCTCGAAACATGGATAAAAGTTTTCAAAGTCTAGCTCGAAATTTTCATATAATAATATGCACATAAAAATTCTTACTGGTTAAAATCTCTGCCTCAGAGATGAAGGTGAATAATAAAAATAGCAGGTAATTCTGAGCCATTAAAAACCAGGGAAATATATATAAAAATATATATAGAAAGAATGACAATTCTCGTAAGTGTATAATCATTTTGTATTACAAAATTAGCTGGCCTGAGAGAATAGTCGTGACGTTTAAGTATGGACGAAGTCAAAGTATTCATTTACGATCGCAAGAGGTGGGACACATGGCTGATTGGATTGAACTCATGCTGCGATATTGGATTTAGGCTTTCGCTAATTAAACGGTCCAATTACCATTATACGTCGAGAATTACGTGATGTAGAAATTAATTATTACCAGCAGGGAGGAATACAAGTTCCATTAAAAGCTTTGGTTAATGTTTCATTGTGTTTGAATCGATACTCCACTTGGGGTCATTAGCGAACCACTCTTCGACCAGTCGAATGGCATATTGTCTGCCTCAAACGTTCAAGTTTGTCCCTGTATGCTCGTTTTTCAGTCACTGAAAATAAAACGCTGCAAACGACTTTGCTAGATCGCCTGAATTATGTTTTATCGGTGGTATAGCTCACGTAGCATCGAATAGTACTTCGTCTTATCAGTTTCACCCTGTCTCAAGAGGGATGATTATCCGAATGCGAAGCAGGAAAGGTGCTTCAATGCCGATTGCAAATTTGAAACACTATAATATTATGCTAACTCGCAAATTATTCTGAATAATGTAATTACAAAATTAAATATTAAATTTATTATTTTGTTATTAATAGTGGCAATTTTAATATGATTGTTAATACTGTTTATTATCTTTCTTAGTATACTAATATTATTAATATTGTTTATTACTTTTACCATAAATATTAATTTTTTATTTAACAGAAGCAAGTGGGTATCGAATTGAAAACATTATAAGATTATGAATAACTCTCAAATTATTCTGAATAAAATAATTACATTTGCAAGAAAATTCCATTTCAACGTTAAAATTAAATATTAAATTTATTATTTTATTATTAATAGTGACAATTTTAATATAATAATTAATGCTATTTATTATCTTTCTTAGCATATAAATATTATTAATGTTATTTATTACTTTTATTATAAATATTAATTTTTTATTTAACAGAAACTAGTGCATATTGAATTGAAAACATTATAATATTATGAATAACTCGCAAATTATTCTGAATAAAATAATTCCATTTCCAAGAAAATTCCATTTTAACGTTAAAATTAAATATTAAATTTATTTTCAATTTTAATATTGGGGAAGATGTTGTTAATTTGCATTGTATTAACGTGAAACATTCGGTAATGTTATTTTTGATCATTTAAATGACCAAAATCCTACTCTTTGTCAAATTGTTTAATTTAATTAGAGATAAAAGAATTTTAGAAGTACGCGAATCTTTCGTACAAATGCAGGTGTTGATAAGATATTCTTTTGGAATTGTGTAATTGGCCTCGTTTCGCGCCAGTGCCCCTTTCATTTATCCAAATTTCCAGAAAGTGAAATTGGGATCCTGCTGATTTGAAATTCAGCAGTAATTTTTATCTTTGCAACAGATATGCCTGCATGATAAAAGCCACTGGTCGTTACTTTTGCGACTTTCTGCAAAGCGTCGACAATATCCACATGCAGATGAGATTCACGTATCCAAAAATGAAAAGTCCTTCGATGTACACTACGCACATCGACCCACAGGGTGTAGTGTTAGTCTATCGAAGCAATAGGAAAGGATTCACGCATTACTTTATGGGTGAGACATTTTGTTCTTTGCGAATAGTTCTCCTGTAGCTCTCGTTTGCAATTTATGAAGTATTACTTCCCTCTTTTAATTTATTCATTGTTATATATGCGTGTACATGATCAAAGCGAAAGGATGGTATTTCATTTACATAAAAATTAAAATTAAATATTACCAGTTCATTGTAAAAAGTAATTGTAAAAATATTCTAAAATAACATTTTTAATTTCGCAAATATTGTAAATTTTATCTGATAAATATCCTGAAATTATAAATCTTAATAGATAAATTTACAAGTGCCAAATTTAATTATTATTCCATGAGTCACGTGAAATTGAAAAATATATTTGCCCAATTTTTTTAAATTAATTATATCGTGCATTAGTAAAGATTATATGGTCATTTAATTATAATTATTTTAATTATTAAAAATTCACCAGTTCATACTTCTTCGTAGGTCAGCTATTTCAAATAGCAAAAGAACTGTACGAAACAGATTTATCCATTCGAGTATTAGGAAGTTCGAACAATATCCCTGGATCCAGAAGCGTAATGGTTAAATTTAGAATCGATTTTGACAATCGTGAATACGTAAGTAGCTACATAAAAAAAAATCATACGATATTTATAATAAAAAATTATCTGAAATTATCTGAAAATCTTTACAGCCACCATGTATAAAAACGGAATAGAAATGACAAATAATATAATTCCAAAAATTGAACATTTGTAATATTTTCGATATAGGATTTTCAGTATCGAATAACATTTATTTTATAATGCGCCATTTGCAATTTTACCATTCGCCATTTTGACACTTGCATAATTTGCCATTGAAACTCTACAGTTATTCATATTCATATTCTCAGATCGCGAAGAACAACAGAATGAAAACTCCGCTTAGCCGCGAATTAGCGCCAGTGTCAATCTCGTTTCTTTTACGTCTTTTCCCATTCGGAGTGGTGATCAACACGGATATGCAAATACTGGGAGCCGGTGATAAATTGCTGCAAGCATGGGGTGGCAGTTCGTCCATCTTGAATAAGCACGTCACGGATGTCTTTAAGCTGCGTAGGCCTAAAGGAATATCTTTCACGTGGGGAAACGTAAGGGACCATTTTATGGCAAATAAACGAGAAAGCCTCACATTTCCACCATCATTTCCGCGTATTTTCCCCGTCATAAAAGGACAAAGATATTCTTCCGCTAAAATATGTCTTATCTATATGAAATTTCTTTCTAGATTCAGTTGTGATCCAACATTTGGAAAGTAATTTAATAATTTTATTTATTATATGATTTTAAATATTAATAATTCCAAATGGAAGAATTTTATTTTCCTATTTACTTCCTATTAACCCTTTGCGGTCGATGTTCTCGCAATGAGGACATTCGCAAGTCGAAAAATACAGAAAACTACAGAAAATTAGAGAAATTAAAAATTTGGTATTTTTACGTATTATTAGTAGTATCAAACACAAATTAATTTCAACAAATTCTATGCGTTTTAATATCCATATATTGACTTTAAATCCTGTACAGAAAAGTAATTGCGAAACGCTAAATTTGCTTTGCTGAAATCTGCAAAGGGTTAAATATTGAATCAACTAAACAGAAGTAAAGTAACATTTTTGTCTGTCATCAAATTTTTATTGTCACCATCGTCATTCTAGATGCTTGCTAACAAATTAATCAATGAGAAACGCAACGTTTCATCGCCTCGTTGCAGTTCAACAAATGGTACTTCGCGCTGATAGTTCCTCGATCAAAGTTTGTCTTATTACTCGCTCGTCCCCACAACGGGATCATTCATCCTCATAATCAATCTCCGTTTAATAACTCCACCAACGTGTCAGCCATTAACCATCATGCATATTCATCAAATTTCTCCGCAAAGTAACACGTGACATGGTACATGCCCAGGTGATCTACTTGCATTCGGTGATGTTCGAACTGGAGCTGATGAGATCAAACGATAACAGTGGTTCGTCAAACTCGAACAATACCGCGAGCAGTAGCAGCTCAGGATTAGACAGACGCGGCAGCCAAGGAGCCAGGAGCATACTGTTAAAAGGTCAAATGAGATACATCGACGACATCAAGGCAATCATCTTCTTGTGTAGTCCCTTGTAAGTTCTCTGAACAAAGCAGTTGCTATATAAAGAAGACGGAAGATGACGAAACAAAGCTAAACAGAAGTATCATCCAACAGAATTAACAGTCTAGACGAATTGCTGAACATGGGCCTGTACCTGAACGACCTAAATCCTCATGGACTGAGTCGCGAGCTAGTCCTCGCCGGATGGCAGCACTGTGGAAGGTACGATACCATTTTTCAACTACTGGTAAGATTGACCGAGCTGTTGTTCCACTCGTTGGAATCCGTCCCTGACGAAACGAGTCAGTCACCGATGTGAAACACGTGTGTTTGATCGTGCAATGTCAGATTGGAGATGATGTTCGAGAGGGCTGAGCAAAGGTCGACCGAGTTGGAGAACAGCTACGCGTTGTTGGATCGTTGGAAGAACAAGAGCGACGAGCTTTTGTACTCTATGATCCCTCAGACGGTCGCAGATCGATTGCGCGCTGGCGCGAGCCATTTGAGCACTTGCGAGGTATTTTACATTCTCCACGAGCCTTCTTTTCCACGATCTTATGCTTTGCGGCTTCAATTTTTGTTAGCTCTTTGCGGCACAGGATTTCTGATAATAAAATAGACCCACGTTGCACGAAATATAAAAGTTTGCGGATGCAGCTATTGTAATATTTCCAGGTGGGACTAAAAGTGTCCCACCATGCATTACGGTGCATCAAAAAGGTGGGACGCTTTTAATCATAGCGTGCCCCAAAGAATTAACTGACCTTTAGTCAACTGTCGTTGTTTCTAATAGAGTTATACTGATATTACTGTAATTGGTTTTGATAACTAACTAAGTTATAGACTATGAAAGATTCAAAGGAATTCTGATGTTCCACTGCGAGGTTTCTGGACGCAAGCTGTGTCTAATGCTTTGCAATTTTAATTTTTGTTAATTGACGTTTAGCCAACTGTCGTTTCTAATAAAATTATACCGATATTATTGTAATTGGTTTTGGTAATTGATTAAGTTATAGACTATGGAAAATTCAGAGGAATTCTGAATTCTGATGTTGCACTTTGAGGTTTCTGGACGCAAGCTGTGTCCACTAGAAATTATAGCTCGATGTTTCGCCTGCATTGCAGTTACATTTTTCAGGGTCAGTTAACACCAGTGTGAACTGATATACACCATACGAATGAAGGAACTAGCTGCAATGCTGGTGAAACGTTAGAACGTATCTGTATCATAATTCCTACTGAAGCTTCAAATTGTGACAATTGTATAAATTGAAGGCACGATAGATTACGTTTTTCAAATGAAAATTATTATATTTATTAACGAAAATTAAACTTACGAACAGGCAAGTCGATGAATTAATTTATTTCCTTGTCTGCTTTCGTAGTCGTTTGAATCTATATCCGTGTTGTTCTGCGAGCTATGCGACTTCGACTACTCGACGATCGAAGGTGCCATGGACGTCGTTTCGTCGATGAACGCTGTTTTCTCGTGTTTCGACTCCCTGATGGACGAATTCAACGTATACAAAGTAAGTGTCGTATTTCAAAATATGAAATGAAATAAAAGGAAGTGCCTAGAGTAGTGGCCCAATGCTTTCGTAGACGCTGTTACGCATGGTATTTTAGCTTTACGACTCTCAACAGGTAGAAACAGTTGGCCGAGTTTACATGGCAGCCAGTGGAGCACCCGATAGAACGGAAAATCATCCACAGAACATCGCAGACGTTTCGTTGGAGCTACTGAAACACGTTCGATCCCTTAAGCTACCATCTGGCCTTGATATACAAATTCGCATAGGTAACTTAGCGCGAGACTCATTTCGAATGCTCTTTGTTCTCTATGCTTTTTGTTCCGCTGTCCTCTTTTCGCCTCTCTCCTCTGTTTCCATGAAATTGGATTTATCTTCCTGCGGAGGACAGTCCTTTTTTTAAATATTTCCGAGAGATTGAACAAGAGCAAGCACAATCGCATACAAGTGTGTTCTACTTTCCTAGGAATCCATTCTGGACCAGCTGTAGCAGGTGTAGTTGGCATCAAACTACCTAGATATTGCTTCTTCGGTGACACGGTGAATACTGCCTCTAGGATGCAGACAACCAGCTTGGTAAGCTCGTTTATTCAAGTCAGATTTCACTGAAAATATCGGGGCAAGTAGGAAAAATCTATCTAAACCTATTTCAATCATTTTGGATATTGAAATTGGAAATTTCGTAATTGATTGGTTCGAATATCTTTTTTATCTAGGTATTTACATACACAGATTCGTTGAAATTGTCTACATAATTAGAACACATAGTATGCTTCAATCAAAAAAATTAAAAAATAAAAAATAATAAAGAATCTTAGGAATTTTTTGATAGAATCTCAAATTGGTGTAATGTACCAAAATAACCATTCAGTGATAAACCCTTTGCACTCTGTTGTCACCGCTATGGCGACATTGTAAGATAGCCTGTGACTCATTTGCAGCTGCTGGGGCACTAGAATTTCGCTGGATTTATATCAAATATCGTTAGATAAAATTCCCGAAACACAGAGTTACCATATGTTTAGATATTATGATAGATATTATGATAGATAGTACACCTTTGCCAGAAGTACCGATGAAAGTGAAATGCTACTTGATTGGTAAATATTGTACTATAAAAGCTAACAGAAAAGGTAAAATGACTTGAAGTTACTGGTAGATCATATTAAAAATTGCTCAGAGTGCAAGGGGAAAAAGATAAAAAAATAAAAAATAGTAAATAATCTTAGTAATCCTATTAGGAATAATATTAGGAATTCTAATCCTAGTCTTAGGAATTTTTTGATAGAATCTCAGATTGGTGTACTGCACCAAAATAGGCATTCAGTGATTAATTAATAACGTAGATTTATATTTTATTCAATTGCCATAACGCAACTATTTTAATTCCACGTTTATATAACAATTCCACATTTAAATTCATATCATGGTACCCATCCAAGTGATCATTTTACTTCTGAAAGTTTCAGCGTACAGTATCCCATGCCCCATCCCACAGCATTCTTATACAATAAATTAAAAGCAATAAAGGTCGCTATCCCTTTCACTTCCTATACCCATTTAATGGATTCAATTATGTGAAATTTACATTGCTTTCAACATCCTCACCATCCAGCCAGGAAGGGTGCACATCTCATCGGACACCAAAGCGTTATTGCCACTGGATCGCTATCACATTGAGTCACGCGGACTGGTTTGGGTCAAGGTTTGTATCGCAAAAAGTTTAATTTAGGGACTCCCACCCATCACGTCGTATAATTCGCTGGTTTACTGTCCCGTGCAGGGTAAGGGTGACATGGAAACATATTGGTTGTCTGACAAAGTAGAAACCGAGGTTAAAACCATGGAGGAGAGAGCCGCTAGACCGGAAGGACTTCTAGTCACTGATATTTAACACACGATCAATCGCTAATGTAGTAGATACAAATTTTACCAGTCAATCTTCTCCTTCGTGATCCAATTTCAGTAGTTGGATTTATTATATCGTTTGAGTGTTAGCAACAATCCAGATAATTTCATTCACACACTGGTAGAGGATCATCAAGGTGTTTATAGCTTTATGAAGATACAGATGACGTTGTAGATCAGCGATTTTCAACCTTCTTCATCTCAGGATACGTATAAATTAATTACTAAATTTTTAATTAATTTAGCAACAACTTGATTATGTGTTCTATATTATGGTGTATATTATGGTCATGGTAGGACATTTATATTAGACAAATTTATGTTGAATTTTATTCTTCTTTCTGTTTTTGATATTGTTTAACATTCTATCTGGTCTGATATTGCCTGTTTTAAAAATTCTCGTGAAATCCTGGTTGAAAATCGCTGTTGTAGACATATCATAGTTCGTGAATAGTAGCATACGCATTTACTCGAGTATTTCTTAAGTGTTCCTTGTTCATAGATTTTATCGAGTTGTTTAGAGATAGCTTGTATAGATGTTGAGCACGGTGATGCGTCGATTGCTAAAAAGCAATCTTTGAGAAAACCAAATCCTTCGTTCAGAACAAGTTTCAGTTAAGATCTTCTCTTCCATTTTCCTTATTTTCCACTCAGTTTGTTCTTTCTTATTTACTTTACCATCTCACTGTGGCTTGTAGGCTCGGAAGACTGTTTGTTGAGCTAAGCTTTCCGAATTGCTCCCTGAATCCTTTCTCCGATGACATTTTCTTTTCATTTTCTCTGTTCGGGTGCCCATCCCATTTCTCCTGTGTCTTCTTCTAATTCTTCCTTACCTCTTGTTAGTATCTTCGCGATTACAAATAATCCCGAAATCTCGAACTTTCAAATCCAGAAAATCCTATTCGTGGTAACGGAATAAAAATTTCATCTGCAACTTAAATATATGAACACATTACAGCGGTAGGGATTAAATTTCCTCTCACAATTTCTTCTCTGCATTCCATTTCATTTTTCTGCTTTTCGACTTTTCCCTGCCCATTATTCACATTCCGTTTTCCCATGGTAAATAATTTCGAAACCGCGGAGTTTAAAATTTCAGAAATTTTATTCCACGTATAAATAACTCGTCTCCTACGCGAGCATAAATAAAGTCGTAAAATTACATGATCTGACAGATGAGTTACGATTAAATTACGAGTTAAGTCTCATCGAAGATCGTACGCATAAGTTGCCACGAATATTTAAATTATCTAGGAAATCGACGATCGAAGTTTCCTCTCTTCGGTCGGTCGTAAGATCAAATTCTAACGGATCCAAAGACGATCGACGTTTCACTGTACGCTCGCAAGAATGATGCAAACGTCACGCAAGGCGTTTGACACCTTCGTGTCACGGAGAATCAAAGCTCCATGGGAGCAGCGGTCTACGTGAGTTTTCACCGAAATTCCAAGTCGAAAGAAACAGAGAAAGTCCAGGCGACTTTCTTTCTCGTACGTTCAATGTTACGAGTCGCGTTTGGACACGCGATACGTGCCTTAACTTTCAATTGTTTCGCCTGCATCGACGTAGGATAACGGATCGCGTGGCCAGCTACTCCTCCTGAGCCTCTCGTGGTCACGAACAAACGTATTCTAATCTATATATACGTATTCGATAAATAAATATGAAAGACCAGCGAAATTTAATATGCCAGGCTTGTCCTCCTGTCGTCTCAAGGACGAATGCTAAAAATTGTCAAAAGAGTCTCCTACATTCCAGGAAGAAATATTCAACAAGGACGAATTTCTGGTCTTTCGAAAAATAGTCCTATTACGAGTATCGAGTTTTCAGTCAAGACGATGAATCTAAAAATAACAGTATTATCTCAGTTAACAGTAACACGCGTCCTCGGTGTTGCGTTCTATCCACGAGAGGTAACGATTCACCCTGCTGTAAACGCCTGGGTAGCCAGGCCTCGCGCATCCTTCGCCCCAGGATACTATTCCTGTGAATTAGATACGACATCGTAGATTCATTTCTCTTTAGAACCGTCACTGAGGTACAAGGCGAGGTTTAATTCAGTCGTGTACTAAACGAACGTATGTTCGGAATTGTAAGAGATCGTGGAGAATACGAGATTGACCTCAGATTAATGTATTCGTGACTGGTAATTTTATTGCATTATAAAGTAGAAAATTATAAAATTATGGTACGACGATGAAGACAAAAATTGGAAAATTCCTTTGTTTTAGGATCCTCAGGGTCACTGATAATTAACCTGTGGGTCCTTTAGGCATGACAAAGTATGATACTATTAAACCTTTGCACTCGAGAGGTGAGCTTCAGTCACCATTTCATAACATTTGGAAGATCGATATTAATTAATATATCAAATTTAATGTAATAGTGTGCGAGGTATCCAAATCGAATAATTCTGCAATTCTATTATTATACAATTCTATATTTACTGCTCAAAAGGTATCGTCAGTATTTTAGTAGAGAATCTTTGAAAGGTTTAATATGGATAGTGATCCTATAGTATATTTTTGAAATTCTATTTACGTTATTTGTTATATTATTTATTGTCGACTATATTATTTTCTCATTCTTCAAAAGTCACATGGAGTTCCTCGTGCTTTTACTTTGCCAGAAAAGAAAAATCTGTGAAACCTACTGACACCTAACATTTGTTTGAATTTAGAATTAATTTTGCCATCCACTATATCACAGATTAAAAATTTCATACTTTTCGTATCGCCCATATGTCACATAGAGTTCAAAGTTCCTCTACTTTCCTCATCAAAAAATATTTATCTCCGATACCTACTAACACATAATACTCCATTGACTCTGAAATTCCAATTTTCCTTTCACCATATTAATTTCTAATTTCATCGTTTCCATATCTTCCAGATGTCACATAGAATCCAAAGTTTCTTGGTTTTCCTCGTCAAAAAATATTTATAGATACCTTTGAAATCTACTGACACTCAGTACTCGACTGAATTAAAAATTCGCTTTATATCTCTCCCATTACTGAATTTGTTTATTGTGAAACAAGAGAGCACGAATCTTACCAATTACTTCATGTGCATTGTCGTTGACGATGTGAAGGGGGCCACCACTGTCTCCCTAACAAAGAAAAATTGAAAAAAATGAAAAAAAGAGTCGCAAATTTGAACGCCAGATTTTTCTGTTTAACGTTAAGAAATGATATATGTACGCACAGGTTGCTGCACGCGTGCGTGTAAATGCAAATGTACAAAGATGTAATGATTTCATTTGTATGTGTCATAATGCGGAGAAGTGTTAATAGTAACGGTAATGACGAGAGGAATTTGTCGTTGATTACCTGACACGAATCCTTGCTTCCCTCTTTGTAACCAGCGCACAGCATGTTGTCCGTGATCCTTCGCGCCGGATATTTAGTAGCGCGGCACTCAGTGTTAGTGAGAATCGGAACCGTGACTTCCTGTAGAGTCTGCGATATGGCGCCAGACTCTGCCAACGCCCCCCAACCTGTTACTGTTCCGTTCAACCCGGCGAAAGTTTTCGCTGAAAGATGAAATTTTAATATGTTTTTCAGTCTAATGCAAATTATTCGCCCGTCTTTTCCGTATAATTTTAGGTATCAGTAAAATTTAAAAACGGGCAAAGTAATCTTTAAACAGCGTGCTGCAATATCAATGTAACATAATTGAAAATAATATAAAATATCTATTTTAGGTATTATTTCAAGGCATTAATTTTGGTATACTAAAGTGACGAATAGTAGTATTATAAAATGATCTAATTCAGTTTTGTATTTATTTTATATTTTTTTTCTCTCTTTTGAAATAGCTTCTTATTGATTACAATATGCTTCAAGAAAATGATCTTTAGTAATTAACTTTGACTTAATTTTTCATTTTTATTGCAATTGATGCGAAGTATATATAAATATTTACTTGTGAAATTCTCATTGATCAAATTTTATTTATTTTGTTAAAAGATTATTTTTAGGTTGCGAGTGATTCTCCTTACCAAATTTTAACGTAGATTGTTACAAAATATTGTAAAATAGTAATTTGAAACCGAGAACCAAAATTAAATTTGATGTTTGCGTGTATAAGTGGAATAAGTATCGAGGACGGCATGGAGGAAAATAAAAATTGACTGGAGATTTATGTCATGCAATTTCGTTATTGAATATTACAGCATCTAGAACGTTACCTCGTTCCGGAAGGCAAACAGGCCTCATCTTTCCCTCGAATCGAATGGTGTCCTTCAGTTTGACGAGCGCGATGTCATTGTTATAGTTGTTCGTCGAGTAACCGCTATGCCTGATCACTTTCTCGACTTGGAATAATTGCGTCTCTGCCTCTGTAGTGGAATTGCGATTGTGCTCCAGTAACAGCACCGACATGAGATTCGGATCAAACCTGTTCCAATTATTTATGGATTGGATATACGATAGATCGACATATCAGCAGTGTAATCGATTGTTTCGATACCATTATACATATGTTATTACAAGGTAAACGTGCATATCGATAAATACGTATTCGAATAACAAATAGTGAACAACAGCAAATTTTATTTCTGATTATTTATTTATTTATTTAAATTTTATTCGATCACAATTTTTTATTCTTTCATTTGCTAATTGCTCATTAATTGTTCCTTATTTATTTATTTATTTATTGATAAATAACGTTATATTCGTTATTTATTAACCCTTTGCACTCGAGAGGCGCCCTTCAGTCACCATTTGATAAAATTTCCAAGGTCGATATTAATTAATATGTCAAGTTTAAGATATTGTAACGATATGAAAGGTATCTCAATCAAATAATTCCACGTGTTAATTATTATACGATTTCTTATTTACTACTCAAAAATATATCATCATTTGTATAGTAGAAAATCTTTGAACCCTTACTCTTCTTTGGTCAAAAAATCGTCGAGTGCAAAGAGTTAACTCGTTCATGTTCGTTAATTTTTAAGTTATTTATTTATTATCTTTGTTTCGCATTTGGTTTTAATTGGAAATAATATTGTAATAACGTCTCGATTATTTATCTGTATTTATTAGTAGTTATTAGTGCGATGTAATCAATGGTATTAGCTGTTAATATAGCAATGATACTGACGATGTGTGGTATTGTTACACATATTACATAATTATTGTTAATATAATAAATTGCCAGATTGATAGTGTATAGTGCATAATTCAAACACGAGATCACCTGTCGACACAATGTGCAGCGGTCAATACGTAACGAGAACTTATAACCGATGCACCGCAATAAAATCGTCCTCTGAACATCATTAATGCCATCCATGGATATTGATTAACCTGGGTCTCAACACCGCCTACTATGCGTCTCTGCGTGTTCGTCAAACCGCATTCTATAAGATAACGTGCTCGGTCAATTTCATCAAGTACTATTCATTCAGTGAAGCAGAGATACATAACCAATTTAAATTTTTAATTAAATTTTTAATTCAACTACTGTACAATTTATTTCAGTGTTTGCTCTCTTCGATCTAATTCGAATTATTGAAATTAATTTACTGTAAAATAAGAAATTTGAAAAATTAATTCACAAGAGGATAGAAAATTATGAGAATCGATCTCCAAAGAAGGTATATACTTTTATATATTTACTCTTCGATAAAATACTAAAAATAGTGGAGACAGAGATTTTATACGATTATTTCAAGCTTGTATAATCATGCCATTTATCTTGAGCTTGATATTATCTTGATATTTAAGGCAATGTCACGATGTAAAATAAAAATACTTACTGCATGGTAAACAATCTTCCGGTTTTACTGGTCTTGGAAGTTCAGTCGTTGACGTGGGCGTTGTTGTTGAGGTTCCACCAGCGGATATAATACCATACAACCAAGCCCAGAAATTTTTATCAGTTTCGCCGATTGTATTAAACTGCATTACAGTCAAGTTGTCTCTTTCTGGCGACTTTAGCTATAAATATTCACGTTATTCTTTATTTTCCTGAACGCAAGAATTGCATGTTTGGGGTTCTTATTTTGGAAGAAACATGTACCCTTCTCATACTTTTAAATGGGAATTTACTTTAGAATGTGAAATTTTTTAATTTGTTTACATCTCGGAACGAACTTCAAGAAAATTTCGAATATAAATTGTGAATTTCTTTTATATTTTGTATAATTAATAAAGTAAGAAGAAATTACTATAAGGCGTCGCTATAAAATTTGTATTGCTTTCAAATTTTCTTAAAATTGATGGTATATTTCGGAAGCAATATATTAAAGAATGCGGATTCCACGCCAATTTGTTCGAGGCTCAAAAAACATGTTACATGGCGCGAAAGTCAGTAAATATTCAACGACACGCGAACGCAAATTCTAGGTATCGAAATCGTATGATTTTAGAAACACAGAACATCGATCTCGACATCTCACATCTCCGTTATGTGTCCCCAATATAAAGCTCATTACATATGCAAAACGGAAAAAGATTACACCTAACAAATGTTATAAGATCCTTAATCTATTTGCAAAGACACACGATTAGGTATTATAAATCTAGACAGCCATTTCTCATAAAAGCAATCTGCAAAGCTACGTCTAATTCCTCGCATACGAACTTGCAATTAATCGTAAGATTAAACTTGGTCAGGGGGAAAAAAGCAAGGAGAAAAAGAATTTTATTCTACCATTCTTAATTCATTATTCAAATCAATTATTCAACCCCTCGTAATTTTATGAAATGACCTTAATCTCCTCAGCAATGAGTTCATTAAGTCCAGAAAAGGGTAACGAAGTTTCCATTTCTCAATTTTATTGATTTCAAATTTATTCATACAAATGACGAATGAGGCAAATCATATTAGAAAATATTTTGGAATATCCCAGAGAATATAATAATATTACGCATAAAAATATGGAGAAAATAATAAGCCACGTTTAAAAATTTCAATTCGCAATATATTTTTCCTATCAAATTTTTCTTAATATCACGAAATACAATAATATTCGAGATAAGTCAGAATTTTCCTATATTTCTAGACTTCGAATTTATTTCATCTCTGCGTTAAATATCCACAAAATTTAAATAGTCTCGAAAATTGTGATCCAAATAAGTCTCGAACCCAAGATATTAAACAAAAATAGCTAACTACCAGTAGAGACAGCGTAAAACTGGAAAAGTGACAAGCATTCGGTGATTATGATAATTACTGATAAATACCAAGTAACTTATCGTGTTTCTCCCCTATGATCTTCACATACATATTCACATATAATATAAATATCCCATTCATAATCGACCAGCTCCACGAACCAAAAACTGAAAATTAAATGTAAGCTTTGAAGATGAAATGAAGATCGATCAAAAGTTTGACACCAAATCAGAAAACTCAAGAAACGTAAATCACTTCGACCTACGACCAGCTGTATTATTTCCCGCGAAAACCGAAGAATCACGCGTGTGTATACATACACGCCCATCGTGTGTCACGACCCCTGAGGAGGTTATAGTGAAGAAGCACGCGATCTGGATCTCGCATCGATCACACCCTATCTCCCGCGAATCGATAAATCCGTTCGTGCGAGCAGGGCACCATCGTGAACGACGTCCCATCGTTTACGGTTACTTACTTCCTGGCAATTAACGGCACACGCCGCCGCGACCACGACGGCCACGCATAGTGTCGTGCGGATGCACATGATCGCGACGATTGCACTCTTCTTGCCGCGCACGAAACGAATACTGTGAATTCCGTGGCGCTCGGAGGCCGAATAAAAGGGAGCAACCGATTCGATCGGGCTCGATCTACGCTTCCTACCAACGCGGCGTACACTTTCACACAACACTTGGCCAGGCTCGTCACTTCTTTATTTATACGGAATAGTGGACGGGCGAGTAGTCGCGGTGAAAATTTAGGCTGTATGTTAATTCACAACGTCGACGAGTAACGTCGAGTATGGAGAATACGTCGTGAAATGGCACGGGTATCGGCTAGATCTCCAGTCGTTCGTCATACCGGTTCGTTATGGATCTATACCTTCGATGGATCGAGACGACAAGATCGCTTTGGTGTCTTGCGGAAGTGGTATCTATTTTTCGGGGTCGATCGTGCTGGGGTAGGTCTGGGTCAGGGAGTCTGTGTGTGATCAATGGTACCAGTTGGGAGTTCTGTGGTTTAATGAGGGAAAAGTTTGATGGAATTGAACGAGGAATCGGGTTGGAAGTTTCAGATGGCTATTGTAGTGCTTCGGTTGTAGATTGCTGTTTTATAGGTGTTTAAGAGTAACTTCGGAGGAACTCTCTGTTGGATTGGCAATCGTGGTTTCAGGGATGGTCTCCCAGACCTGATGCAGATACTGTGCACGCAATTCTATCGCGCTGTATTGTTGAATAATCACTGAGTGTGGGACCGAGTTCTTCATTCATTATGAAGTTCTTATCGAATGTTTGACGTTAACGATGCTGGAGACAAATATTTGAAAATGTGGAGCAAATTTGAATCATGAGGCGAGTGTCTGTTTTATTGATTCTTGCAAACAAGAGGAATGGAACGATTGAAAGCTTTCTGTGGGTGAAGGTCAGTGACGAATTTCTGAATTTTATGGCAAATAGATACCTAGTATATCTCTTTTTCAAGTGTATTAGCTCACAATATCGAAGGAGGGAGTATAAGCAATGTGGATGAAAGTAATTTAATGTAGAAAACTCCTGTTCGTGAAAGAAAATAATAGGTAGCTGTAAAATGAGGAAAGTTGGAATCACATTTGCTTTGTGTACTAATGCAACCGGTAGCTATAAATTGCCTTTGTTTGCGCACAAATACGAAGCACTGCAGAATTCCTTACTAGATGTTTACAAACATGAGAAAAACGCATGGGTCACTGGAGTGGTTCTGGAAGTCGACTGCTACCTAACCTAAGATAATATCAGTTGCAAAATATTTACATACGAGCAAGGCAGGAAAAGTAATTTCAACAGAACCACTGATCTATGATATATACGTACATATAGTGTACCTACTGATGTAACGAAAATAAATAATCTTGACAGCTTAATTAAAATAATTTCGTTATTATGGAATAAAAAATATAAAAATTTTGTTACTTGTATAATACTTTGAGCAGCTGATTCATCGCGTTCCAATGATATCTGTAATCTCAAATAACTCCGTGATAATTATTCCTGGACTATTACATATCGTGCTAATAAATTGTAATAAGTTAAAAAATTATTTTTGTATTATATACAGAGATACATATTATATACAGATGGATTGAGTAACGATTATTGGATCCCATTGTACCCCGTGCACACCTCCTAATAAATTCCTAGTAAATTGTAATAAATAATTAAAATATTATTTTTATATTATATACAGAGGTACAGGTACAGGGTGGATTGAGTAACGATTATGAGATACCACATTGTACCCCATGCACATTGTACCTCCAACCCATCTCTACTCGAATTCGACGTGCCTGGTCCGAAGTCAAATCCACGAATAAACTCGAACGCAGATCACGCGTGCTTTATATAGTCAGCTGCATGCCGAAGATCGGCCGAAAAGTCACGATCATTACCGAAACGAATAATAATCATTGTCTGATTATAATAATCAATTATTCTCTTCGATCTCATTACAAATTCCTGCTCTAAAAAATTTATCGTTGACAACAGATTTAATAATTTCTATATTTTTTCCAAAATTATAATTATTTTTCCAAACACCCTAAAATTCCCTGCATAGTCGCACATCTCGATTATATTAACACTAAACATACCAAGCGGGGTCAAATAACCCTTTTCAAAATTTACTTTATAATTGTACATTTATTGTTATTTTTTCCGCTCATCTGTCTTTCTGTAAATTCTTATATTATCTGATTGTTTAATTTCTAGCTTTCCGTTTTTATTTTAATTTATTTTTTTCCGAGGAAAATTCTTTGCATACCTTATGTTAAGAATACGAGGGCTTATTTAATCCCTTATGGTAAGAATAAGTATGTGTAAACTACCTGTACGTTTAGCGTTAATTAATTGCAAAATGGACTAAAAATATTCATCTTTATCCGAAGAAAATAAAACGACGTAACTATTTCGCAAAATTTCAAATTTCAAGTCACACTGCCATGAACCAAATAGCATAATCCGTCACGATCTCACGGTACCAAATAATTCCATATATCAATACAAAGATACCGATGTTCCCGTCAGCCTGGCACGTAGCAGCTACGTCAGCTAGTTCGAATTGCAGTAGGAAAGTATCCGAAACGAAAAACGCGAGCAAAGGATGAAACTAGAGAGTATGGTCTTTACTTTGCTCGTTACTCACTCGCACGCGACGAGGATTTCTGTGTAAGCTGTCTTATCAAGCGTCTAGTTAACGTCCCGAGAGAAATGAGATAAGATGATGTAGGACGCAGGATTGTATCTCACCTGTAGCCAGTGACAGTGGGTCAAGGTATATGGGTCACAGCACCCTCATGCGGGTGGGACATCGCTTTATTGTCTGCTTGGATGACTAACGTTATCATCAGCCTTGCCTTATTTACACTTATCGCCAGGGTCAGATCGTCGCCATGATTTCAGGCCTTTTCACGGGCAAGATTCAGCTTCGTCCAGCGACCGGACTCTTATCCTCTGTGTACATATCAAAGATAGCGACGTCTTCCCGAAAGAATAACGTAATCGAACGATCACGACTAATTGGATCACGTCATGTTCAAGATTATGTCATCACGGATCGTAACTCTTGTAGCGTGTCATTGTGTGGCAAGCGTGTTGCGTTAGGCGTAATTGAATTACTAATCTAGTTGTCCGTGTTCCCGTCACACGTTTGAGATTGCATTTGTTCACCGATAGCGAGCTAAATTTTGGCTCATCCTTTTGGCCTCACGGTCGAACGCTAACAATATAGCACACGCGAAACGTCATAATTCAAATGGTACCGTGAAGATAAATAGGTCTGTATAATCGTGTTTTTATCTTAATAAAAGTCGACATTAATTCTGTCTAAAGTACCTGCATGTTTGTGCTAATGGCATAGCCAAACGCACTATTTTGATGGGTTTAATAATTCCAATGACACTTTGTTGCCGTCGAGAAGGTAACGAGCGAACGTTACTGTCAATAATTTTCCATCGTTCATGGCACATTTTTATCAGACCCTTGGGAGAAAAAATAAAAGAAATTGGTAAAATTTGAACGACACTGTCAAATTTGGTCTTTGACAGAATCTAAAACCCAAGTTCTTCCAAATTCTACCAAATTTTGTTTCCAAAGGAATTATTAACATTTTTATTAGACTCTTGGGAGAAAAAATAAAAGAAATTGGTAAAATTTGAACGACACTGTCAAATTTGGTCTTTGACAGAATCTAGAACCCAAGTTCTTTTAAATTCTATCAAATTTTGTTTCCAAAGGAATTATTAACATTTTTATTAGACTCTTGGGAGAAAAAATAAAAGAAATTGGTAAAATTTGAACGACACTGTCAAATTTGGTCTTTGACAGAATCTAGAACCCAAGTTCTTCCAAATTCTGGCAAATTTTCTTTCCAAAGGAACCCCAGCCGCATAAGGGAGAACGGTATATGACACGCGGGATAAAAAGATGGCGACTCCGATGGCGGCTGACGAGCGAATACCATGGCGAAAATATGAAAATTCTTCGTACGTGCGAGCGTCACGAATTCAAATTGCGGTCGCGGGGCACGTTCTTACCGCTAGCTGGAACGTGATCGATTAATTTACCGAGCGAAAAACGAGACAGAGGCATTAAAAGAAGCCTGGAAGACGCATAAATTATCCGACACTTTCGTGCATACGCGACCGGATCCTCTTGCTGTTACTCGCGTTTTGCCTCCCTGGTCCAATCAACACTCGCGTTTCTCGCCGACTTTTTGCTCCGTAAGGCACGCACTCGTCCCGTAAATTATGCTCGTCTTCCCCATACCCCGGCCCATTCACTGCAAAATACGTGCACCTCGCTGTGTACCGTCACGAGGAGAGTGGGAAGGGGGCACGCGGTTTCTTACCCTGAATAATTGAATTCCAATGTCGAGATGACGGAACCTCATTACGAGCAAAACTTGTTCGATATTGAACGTAACGGTACGCCAATCGACGCGGCCGAATCGCGGCGAAATCGGCGAGGAACAATTACTGAAATTACGATTTTCGACGATTTACCCTTTTGTGGCTTGATTTCGGTGAAAGTAAAATTGCTAGTGATTTTATTTATATTTTTTCTCTATCTTTTGTTTGGTAATACACGTGTGGTGCGTAGATAATTATTTGTGTAAAAATTTTCGAGGCATAGGAGTATGAAGTCGATGGAATTTTTATGTCGAGTGTTTGAAAATTGGATGAACTTAAATTGTGGAAAATATAATTATTCGTGCAAAAGTTTGGTGATATAGGTGAGTGATATTTGTGAAATTTTTATTTCGAATGTTTGACAATTCGTTGGATTTAAATCGTAGAAAAAATAATTATTCGTGTAAAAGTTTTGGTGATATAGGTGAGTGACATTTGTGAAATTTTTATTTCAATTGTTTGACAATTAGATGGAGAAATTTAAATTCTAAAGAAGATAATTATTCGTGTAAAAATTTTGATAATATAGGTGGATGATATTTATGAAATTTTTGTGTCGAATTAGATGGATTTAAATCGTGGAGAAGATAATTATTCGTGCACAAATTTTGGTAGCATGAAATATTGATGAAATTTTTATATCGAGTAATTGATGATTGGTGGAATCACAGTTGTGCGGATTATTTGCTGATATTATGCAGTGTAATTCAGGAATTGTTACGTGCTATGGCAACAATCGGTGGTTATTGATTTACCTACAAGTGGTTGAATTTGGGTTGCGTGGATGTGATGCTCGAGCGAATGCTAATTGCTGGTCACAAATGTACGATGATTATGCAGTGAAAATGAAATAGTTGGTTACCAAAGCATAGTGTCGGGTAAACAAATTTATATTCCAATAACTTGTTGATCATAATATCATACATACTTTACTTCTGCAATTTGGAAAAAGAAAAATATGTAGCATGATTGTTTTTAATAGTATATACTATTTCTCAAATCATTTCTCTTCAAAAAAGTCACAAAAATTCACGAAACCACGGAACGCTGCTTTTGTTTAAAAAATTTCTCAAATTAACAATGACTAACTTGGAGTGAAAAATATAAATATTCATTATAATTATAACCTTTATAATCGTAAATATATAAACATAATTGCAAAATAATTACAAAGGAGTAACCTTAAGCAACTAAAAGCAAAATTTGTTATCCATTTTTGCAGAAAACACGTATTTAACGAATCTCTCTTAAACTATCCCCATAATTAACTATCCCAACACGAGTTAATATCTATTAGCTGATATTTATTAAATTCTAATATCCACCCAATCCAGCCATAAATAATGCAAATCTGCTGGCAGATAATTATCCGAAGGCAGTTACACGAAACAAAATGGTGACCCTGTTGAAAGGCCACGAATTTCTGACACAGTTTCACGAATTTACATAAGATAACGAGAATTGTTTAGCCGGGCAATTATCTGGATGATGTTTAGGTCCAAGTTCAACACGCGTCGCGTAATTAACTAAACACGACGCAACGATCGTTCCAATGGAATTACAACACCCTGACGGAAAGGCTGGAATTCCATGTAAAGAGAGATGGAAGGATCGTTAACGACGGTGCTCGTTAAATGTTTGCCTTAGCCTTACGAATCTGTAGACAAGGGCAAACGACTGTTACATTGACCCGATTTCAAACCGCAACGGTAACCCACGTAATATCTCTAAGGTGCCACAAACTTCTTAGAATCTCGCCTAGTAAGGCCTTAGCTGCCTACGCATCGGACGAAACTGTTTTATGGACCCGTGGTAGAATCTCAGGCTCGAGTTTCACAGTTTCGTGAAACTTTAACCTCGTCTCGAGATGAACCATGCATAATTCGTTTAATAAAACCACCGGGTTTGGTTTGAAGTTCGTTTGTCACGCGGTGTTTCGAGGGATGCAGATGAGAGTGCAACGCAGGTTACTAGATTATAGGGAAACTGCATACGTTACTCCCTAGGCATTCTGGCGGGGACGTTTCGTCACTAGTCACTGCATATTCGTATCTTCTTTTATTTTATTTTTAATTTGTCTATGGACGATTTAATTTGTTCATGATAGGTGAAAATGAAGTATGCGAACGTATGTTGGAATATTTATATAGATGGATAGTTTATTTTTAATCCATAGGTTATAAAAATAGACTTGATTTGCCAATGGTGTCCATTCATATCTACTACGCTCAGTCAGGAAGAAATACAATGAGACTGAAACATTGAATACAAATCTGAAGTATGAATTATAAACTGAACGCGCTTAAATTTTATCTGATACTAAACTTGCTGTTATAAGGGAGCTACTATTATTTGGGTATCGTGATTGTAAGTTTAATTATAATAAATTGTAACGAGAGTATTTCCTGTATTAACTGTAGTTAATTAAAATATATCGAATAAAATTAATATACAATTGAAACCGTATTCTAATTGAACCTTTAAATTTAAAAATAAAGTTTTAAAAATCAACTAACTTCCATCAAACTTACAAAATATCAAAATTAGAAACTATTTATCCCAAAATCCTGTTCATCCTTTACACTAATCATTTCCAAACTCTTTAAAACTTATCGAATATTAACAAAACACAACAAAATTTGTAACCTTCTGAAATACCCAAATACCCCAATTACTTAGACGAACATATCCCAGAATCGATTCTTCCCAAACACCTCCATAGCCTTGCCAGAAATCCCTAAACTTCCCAAACCTATCTTCTCCCTCGACCAATCTCCAAAAGAACTTTTCAAAGTTGCCTGAAAATTCGAAAATTTTTACAAAACCCATCACACTCGATCCATCTACGACATCCATCCACCCGATCAGTGAAACCCTTGCAATTAACGCGATCAGCGTGGCGCGAGCTCGTCTTCGTTAATGTTTGGTCGTTGGGAGACAATTGGTACTACGTCGGGTGGCGGGAGGCGTGAAGAATTTCGTGTGACGAAAGTGACATTGATCCAGTCTGCTGGATCCACGAAAGGCACAGAGGAAGGACGCGTATGTACGAAAGGGTCTGACACGGTGGCGGAGGCGGAGACGATGGAGGTGGCGGTCCGGATTGACATTCGACGTTGTTGGTGGTCGTTGCTCGATCGCGTGTCACACACAATCGTCGGTGGATTGTTCGTTACCCACGGACATTGTCATTTTCGCGGGTGTGTGCACGTGGCGGGCGGGCGTGCAGGTGAAACAACGCCGCGTACACGGACACTCCGGCTGATTTAAAGGCTGTCACATGCAACATCTGCCAATGCAAACGCACCACTCAAGGTTGACGATCCCCACCGACCAAGCGGGTCGGCTTCTTCAATAGTTATAATTTACTATAAAACGGCAAAACGACCACGGTACCTTTAGACTTTTCACGCCCGGCATAGGCACGTGCACGAGGCAGCACAACGATATCGTGTGTAGCCACGAGATCGAAATCCCGCCTGTGTGTGCCCGCCCGTCGACTACCAGCAAACCGAACGCACGCTGCATATGCCATTCGGGACACGCGATATGTCGAGCCACGCGACAATGCAACGAACACTCGTGATCCTGCTCTGGATAAGTTATTGCGGCTACGCGTTCCCGCGAGTGGTGAGTTACGTTTCTTCTCTTTCTCTCCACTTTTTCCTGCCTCTTCTTCTTCTTCTTCGTGTCCACCGCGAGATGGATGATAAGGTAATTACTTGTAATGGAAGAATGGCTTGCTCAGGTGTTCGCGATGGTCTCTTTGGGCGGCTTGCTTTCTTCGTCTTGATTCGCGCGGTCTTGGGTAACGAATAAGTGGGCTACCTCGTGGTATTTTTCGTTATAGAATGTCTACTTATTTTTCACTTTGAGAAATGTTCCAAATTTTTCTATCTCTAAAACACAGAATTCTTAGGAATTTTTGCTATCTTGCCGAATGATAAATCATTTTAAATTATGTGGAATAAAATATAAGTATTTATTTTGAATATGATCAAAAATTAAAAATTAATTCGATGCTCTGGCCCTAAATTTTTCAAAAATTAAAGTTAGAAGTTTGCTTCTTTATTTTTACGTATCGAAGTATGTTTGTTGTGGTATATTAACGTGGCGGTATTTATGTAGAGTAGAGAACTGTAGTGGCAACGATTATCGGGTATCTGTTAATTTTTAACGAGTAATTGGATCGTGAGTTTCAAATTTCGAGAAAGTTTCAATTTGTCGGAATACTTAATTCGTTAAGTAGGTGAAATTATTAACGATGTCGTTCAAGGAAGAATCGAGATGATTATTTATGTGCTAGGTGTGTAGTTAGAGTCGTAGAACATTATTGGAAATTCGTGCTGTTTCTTATGGCGTACACGACTATACCTTTCGTAGTTACTTCTCTCACAGCTCATTCCCGACTATCTTTTTTACCCAGTGCATGGTTTTCTTATCCCGCGCAAATAGACTACGTAGATTTATGAACATGATACGAAGTTACCAGGTATTTTAGAGCAACAGTCGTGCTGTGAAGTAAGACACATGAAATTCATGCCTCGAATTTTCTATTTTGAGCTTAATGATATTTTAAACGCTTGTAATAATATTGCGACTGTGGAGGGGATGAAAACAATGAAAGTCACGTGAGCGAATCATTTCCAGCAATTATTAAAAATATTATTATTTAAATGTAATTAAATGTTCAATATTCTATATTATTTAAATATTATTAAAAATTTCTGTATTAAGAATATTATTATTTAAATGTAATTAAATGTTCAATATTTTATATTATTTAAATATTATTAGAAATTTCTGTATTGTTGATATTATAGAATATTAAAAATTAGAAAAATTTGAAAAAGCCTTTAGAACGAGGTTATTAATTATTTCATTCGGTTTACTTTCTAGTCGAATTTTAGATTGCTGTTCGTTAATTGTCATACTTTTATACTTAGGTTCTGAGGAGCAAGGAAAGGAAGCTGCCTGTGTCAAACATGCAGATGCAGTACAATATTACGAGAGCAGAGGTCGATGATCTACTGCCGATAGATGAGGTGTCGTACATCGATTTCAATTCATCTCCTTCGAATCCATCAAAGAGGCCGAACGTCTGCAACGACTGTGGTAATTAAGAATGCTGTAATTAGAGCGATAGACTGTATAGGTACCGTGAGACACGACTGTCTTTCGTTTTCTCGAAATATTTATTCGCGGAGTAGGGGGCAACTTTGTGGCCACTTTTATTCGTAATTACTTAGCTTAACGACTGTTGACATTATTCAATTGCAGAACCGAGACAAGAATTTTCAAATTATGGGGTACGTAATTTATTTTATGGAAACAGTTGAATTACTTATAACTATTTATAATTCGTGACAAATTTATTTGTCAGTTTTTAAATAATTACATTTTCGTATTTATTTTCAGTGTTTCACAATTTTCATTTGTTTCTGCATTGCTATACATAAAATTTCAATAAAAATTGTTCGACAAGGACTTTAATAAGGACTTTCATAGGAATTCTATTTTACTAAATTTTTGCTATAATGCAAACAGAATACATTCACAATTATACCACATGGTTTACAAGTCTTACCTCCATTGCATAAATGGTACGGTTTATAAACAAGAAATTCGATAAACAATCTTATAAAAATAACTTACACTGTATCAAATTCCTATAAAAAAATAATAATAATTATTTAATAATAAAGGAATATATCTGTTATTAATTTAGTGAATTATATAATAAATAATTCATTAAATTTATGTAATAAAAATTATTTATAAATGGAAACAACAACGATTAACGATTAGAGCCAATGTCAAGTTAATTTTGGAAAAAAATTGAGGTATTTTTTGAAAAATCAACAGCCATAGCTTACCTGTGGTATCAATTTCTGCCTGTTTGTTACAGTCTGTGGCGTGGGCCGGAAAACAAGGATCGTCGGTGGGAACGTGACAAGCGTTTACGAATATCCCTGGATTGTTAGCATGAGTAAACAAGGCACATTTTACTGTGCCGGCAGTTTAATCACGCGGAAGCACGTACTCACAGCGGCTCACTGCATGGAAGGGTGAGTATCGTCACGATATTTTCCCACATATTTATTAATTCGTTTTAACCCCTTTGGTAACTTTATCGAATCAGTTTTCAGAAAAGAGGAGAAAATGATATATAAATTAAACAGACTGAAATTGAACAAAGCGAATGAAATTGCGGAATTCCGACGATAGAATTATACCGTGATTCTGCATACTTTAACCTATTTTGCTTTTACTTCGCATAGATATCGAATGGAAGAATTTTATTCCATTCAAAATTTAATATTCGTCATAATTATCGTGAATTATGGGAATGTATTATGATAATTATTTTCTGTACGAAAAATTCAACAAAATTTCGTTTATTTAATTATATTATATGGAAATAGACTGCAAATTTGAATTCCTCTGAATTCAACTGAATTGCTCTTCCGTTGTAGAATTTTTTTCCAATTTCTTCGTCAAATTTCCTCGATTACAAGCAAATTTCTAACGCCTATTTTCTTCCACGCTATTAATACCAGAGTGAAAAATTGAATGTTTGTCTTCAATTTTCTTTCTCTGCCTGCAGCAATAAATCCGCAGGTACTCACACGTCAAACGCTATTTACAATGATACCAGATGAATTATCATTACTTAAGTGGTAATTTTCTAACTTTCTTTCTATGCGAGTGTCAGTGTGTTCTTTTCTACCATAACATTTTTAATTATACCTTCCACTGTCATTAATCCATTTAATTCTCATCTATCATAAGATATTTTCTAAAGAAATCTAGTTGGAATTATTTTCTAATGTAATTTTACATTTAATGGCAGGAAGAGGCAACGCGAGTCGTTTCTATAGAGATGTTAATAAATTTCAGATTTGACCGAAGAAGCATCAAACTCGTTTTGGTAGACAACGATAGAACAAAAATGGACAAAAATGCCATAATTCGTCGAGTCAAGTCGGTCGTTATTCACGAAGACTTTCACGCGTACACATTTAACAACGATATCGCCATCATCGAAATGGATCGACCAGTGAATGTGAACGGTGTCGTGCGAACTGCCTGTTTACCTGAAGACAGTGAGTACACATTTACTGTTTGGAAAGGAGAAAAGATATAGAGTTGAATATTCGTTGTAAACAAGCGTGTGAGTAAAGGAACAGATACGAAAGAAAAATATCTGAAAAGAAAATTAATTAATACCTTTGATCTTCGATTCATTTTTCGAATATAAAAAAAATATATAATTTATATTTTATATTCCAATAAAAGGTATAAACTTTATAACATGTTTAATATAAATGGCCATAAACGTTTATAAAATACCTTTGCACTCGGTCTTCCTGTGAAGAAAGATAATTCGTGTCCTACATTTCAGTGAAGTATATTATATATTTTAAAGTTAAATATAAAATATTATACAAACAAGTGAGATTTATCTCCTCTCCAGCTTTATTTATATTTCACGTTTATTTCATTTTTATATATACTCTGTATGATTTTCTTTTGAAACAGTTAAAATATTTTTGTAGGTATATTATCGTTTCTTAGCAGTATATAGAATTATAATATGCAATTTTATGTTATAATGAGGTACAATATTTTGTATTTTATAGAAGCCATCGACTATACTGGAGCTACTGCCACGGTAATTGGTTGGGGTCGGACAGGGGAAAGTGAACCAGTGAGCAATGATTTGAGAAGAGTCAATCTTCCAATCTTATCGCAAGAGGAATGCGATCAGGCAGGCTATCAGAAAAATCGCATCACTGAAAATATGTTCTGTGCTGGGTATCTGGAGGGTGAACTCGATGCTTGCTTTGTGAGTATTCAATTAAGGGATGAAAATAAAGGAGAAATAAATTTTCCTGATTTCTTATGAATAAAAATAGAATGCAAAATATCTATTTATAATTATATTATTATTAAATTTCTGTTTATAAATATATTATAAATAAAATGAATTTAATAATAAACTGTTTCGTGGAATTTGAAGAAATAAATTAGAAAATTTGTAGAATGCATTAATTTTGTAATAATATTACATGCAAAATCATAAAGTACATGGGTCTGTGTAAACTTTCTATTTTTATTTTATTAAATAATAGCATAGTAGATGGACTGTAATAGATGTGATAATTAATTAATTATACTATTTATATTTGCCAATAAATTATCTGTAATGACTAAGATTGTCTGTAATAAACAATAGTTGTTGAATATTAGAAATTAAATATTGCACTTGCAATTAGGAACTTCTAGTAGATCTTTATAAATTGGAGTTCATTAAATTTTATATATTCTATTTTTATTTGTAATAAAGCAATATAGTATAAAATAGTAGTAACTATAATTTGAAGTAAAAATGACTCTATTATAATATTTTATTATTTTCAGGGTGACAGTGGTGGTCCTCTTCATGTGAAAGGAACATTTGGACATTTGGAAGTAGTAGGTAATATTATTATTCGATACCTATTATAATTTATAATGCAATATATATTTAAAAAAATAACCAATACTATTATTTATTATTATTTCTATTCAAAATAATGGCTAATATTTTTATTCGCTGTTTATTACAATTTTTAACATAATGTGTTATTATTTGCTATATATGTTAATTAATTATATGTTAATTACTAATAATATGTTATTATTTGTAATATTTTATTATTTCCCTTCGTTTTAATCTATGATATAATATATGTTAATATTAGCAAATCACATTATGGTTAACTATATCTATCTTATAATAGAATGGAAATAGAATGGAAATTTAAATTACTTTTCTATTCAGGTATCATCTCATGGGGTCGCGGTTGCGCGAGGCCAAACTTACCAGGGATCTACACAAAGTTGACAAATTATCTCGGATGGATGAAAGATCATCTGGATGGCGAATGTGTGTGTCCACCTCCTCGCCGATATTAACTTAAAAAATCATAAGACTTAATTATAAGAAAAGTACATATTGCTTAGGAACACGCATACCTTTCGAACACCGTTGTATAACACTTTTGATTTCATTGAGACATTCGACGAAACGGTACGATCAGTATTAGGATAAAGTACATTCGATTGTTAATTTTATCGTACGTTCATAAATATTTGCACATTTGTCTATTAACGTTGACGATCTGACTGTAAATAGTCGTGGATTATGTACAATCAAGCCATCGTAGCTTATCATTAATTTATTGCAATTGTTAATTCAGTTGCACGTAGCTGAGGTGATCTAGTCCAGTGTATATACATGAAGAAGTTCCGATTTTCTGTGATGTCGCGTTTTCTGTATGAAAAACAGTTGTTGAATAAAGAATATATTTACCAGTAGCTTTGATATCATCTTTAAAAACGTCCATTACGTGAAATAAGAATTGCAGATTACTTTAAAAGCCGGTACCAAAGTTTTGACAAGATGAATTTCAAATTCAAGAAAGAGCATCTGAGAATTACTGTTATTAAAGCAACGAGATATTACAAATATGATACATGGGTGAGAGAGAAAGTTAGAAATGAAATTTTTATGCAAGAATGAAATTACGATTAACGAGCCAACGATAATTAAAATGTAAACAGGTGTGGGAAAATAAATGGCTAAGAGGAAACTTCAATTTTTATCGAAGGATGGAATTATTTCTGGAGAAAGAGGTAATGTTCGAAATGAAATGAAATTAAAGTTCGAATCATTTTGATCACGGTTGAGGATTGTCGAAGTTCGCGAAATTCTAGGCTGAGATTTGTCCATGGTGAACGTGTCGACCTCACTTTCTGGTTAATTGTGGAAAAAAAGGCTGGTCACGAGCAAACCGTTAAAAACTAACGGTTGCTGAAAGGATGACTCGAAAAAACTGTTGGACATCGCGACGAGATGTTAGATAAACGACAGTCCTCGATCGAGATGAACGGGCAATAACAGAAACCGGGTCAGTAGTCAGAAACGTTTTGCTTTCAACGGTGAATGTGGGTTAGTGAAACCTCCAGACCGTTACCAGCGGCTCCTAATTCTTCCCGAAATGAAACAGGAATGGCGGTTCTTCGAATTTATCAAACAAACGCAATCTTTGTTATCTTATAAAACAATAAAGCTTAATAATAAATAAGTAAGAGATAGATAAATATTTATCATTAAAGAAGTAACTTTCAATTATCGATAACTCTTCTTATATAATTTTCAGCTTTCTGATGACTGTGGAAAGTGTTTGGCTTGTAAGAAATATTATATTTTTTGTATTCTTTAATTTCAATATCACTTTTTCCCAAAAGTTTAATCAATGATTAGAATAGAAGAATATTGCCCAGTACAGTTGTATGTTTTCATAGCAACAAAGATAAGAGATCTCAAGTCCATTATTTTCACTTATTTAATTATTTAATATTATTATTTATATATTCATCCACAATTTTAATTCTAAAAATTGTCACAATATTTGAAATATTTTTGAATTTGCAGTATGAACTTTTGCATTATCCTGTATCTCCAAAACTAATTTAAATTTAATTAATTAATATTATCATGTATATATTCATCCACAATTTTAATTCTAAGAATTATTACAGTATTTTCTATATTTTTAAATTTGCAATGTGAACTCTTGCAGTACTGTGTATCTCCAAATCTAATTTAAATTTAATTATTTATTATTATCATTTATATATTCATCCGCAATTTAGTTTTAAGAATTATCACAGTATTTTCTATATTTTTAAATTTGCAATGTAAATTCTTGCGATATTGTGTATCTCTAAATCTAATTTAAATTTCCAATACTCCCATTACGGGTATCTAACATTGATATTAAGCATTTAATAATCCCTTCCAAAAATGTAACATGCGAAAACGCGTGAAGAAATTTCCAAATTACCGTAATTCCATTGTCAACCATAAAAGGAACGACTTCAACGCGTATCTGAGAAATTCATTCTTCAAACCACCGAAGCAATTGAATTCGAAGAGCTAACCAGATAAAGCAGTGGACCGAATAAAACCGCAGGACACTAAACCAAAAACAACCCTTATAGTAATTCTCAGGAAGGAAAACTCTTATTGTACGTCGTAAAAAGCACGTGACGGTCTGATGCTCATGTACGAACCGTCCGTGAAAAAGCTCTGACAGTGTTCCAACAGCGGGCAACTTTTTTAATAACATCCTACCATGACAAAACTCATGACATTTCGCCAGGCGAATTTCATTCGTCAAGGACGGACCGCACGTCCACGTCCCCGTCTGTCCATTCGTCCAGTAAAAGAGAAATTTTTTGAAAGGGCACCGAAAGCGTGTCTTTATTTCTCCGAGTGGGGCAGGTCGAATCGAAAGAATAAAAGTAGTGCGACCGATACTGCAACGGTGGGAAGAAATTCTCTCGGTTCATCTCGAGAAGATGTCCGCGGATGAGTGCCTCAGGCTTGCCCGTCACAGTCACCGGCAAACGTCACGATTCCTCGCCCACGATTTTCTGCTCGCTCCAACTACACGGTGTCCAACAGTCTCGTCGAAGACAATCCATTTCCGGGATTCTTAACTTCCTAGAAAACCTAGAAAAACAACGTAGAATTTTACATTTCTAATTTCTAACGTTGGAACGCAAACGGCTGCAACCTCTAAGGAGAGTAACCGCCATTGGAATATCAAGCAGTCGCAAGTGCTCGATTCCCACTTAAACAAAGGCTCCACTATGTAACCGAGGTGATCGACGCGATTTTTATTTCAGTTTTAATCTCGAAGCTTCGAAATTAAAACGAGGATCATCGATGGGCAACGTCAGACACCTCGAAACAGAGGGTCCGTAGAGCTGCGTGACACGAATCCACGCGACCACGTCCATCTTGCCAATTTCGAAACGAGAGGATCATGTGCGTTCGGCGTCGCATACTGAATGGGAAGAGCAACAGGACATAGTGAAAGAACTTTCTTCGCGAGCGAGTCGAACACTCGTTGTTGGTCTTGGTCGGTCAGTACGACGTCTTCGTGGAAGCGCGGTGAAAGCGTCTGCACCACGTCCGCCGATCTCCTGCAGCCTCTTGATGGGATCTAGGGGCAGAAGGTGAAGAAGAAGAGGAAGAAGAGGAAAAAGATCGAATGTACAAGTGGAAGGTGTGTCGGTGAGCGATAGGATGCCCGATCATGGAAAATTCTGTGAACACGTCGAGTGTCTAGGAAGCTTCGTCGAATGGGAAGACCTATCGTGACGTTTCTCCACAGTCGTTAAAGTGAAGATGTCTCGACGGAAGATGCCGAGGGGAACGTGGACCCTGGGATTGATCTTGTTGCTCTTTGCTCACGTCGCCTGTTTGAATGTTAAGTTCCTGCAAGACAATTCGATGACCACTGCGAATTATGGTGTAAGTAATACATTGGACAGTGAAATTGCTACCTGTCTCGACTTGGCTATGAGTGACGTTTAATGGGTGTTGTAAGTTGAAAGACAAGTAGTCCAAGGATTTTCAATTTGTCATTCGAGTTGCTGTAAATTTTGCTTTTCATTTGAAAGACTTTGTGCGATTAGTTTGTGAACGAAGACGGCAATTTTAGATATTTCACGTCAAATTCGAGGGACGTTTCTTAGGCACGTCAGTGTTATTAATGGTAAGAAATTCGTTGTTAGAAGTTGACTTCTTCCTGTGGATAACGTACGAGGTTCCTAGTTCGCTCGTATAGACACGAATTTAACGACGTAGGCCTTGACCCATAATTCTGATCGTGGTCACTTTCTCTGATCGTTCTTCTTGCTTATTTGCAATGGAAAGTGAGCGTACATTGGAAGAATGACCGATGTCTTTCTTTCAGACCACGAATTCGAGCCGAAATCGAAAGAGCAAGTTCTTGTTCGACGAATTGTTTGGCCTTGACATTAGTGGCGCCCTGGACGATGATGAGGGGGTGACAAGGAACTGCACGTGTGGTAAGATCATGTTATTCAAATATTGGTCTGGCCAATAAGTAATATCGGATTTTTTCCAGTAGATGGTGCCCATTTTTTAGTAAGAAGCACTGCTCCTGATGTGTTAACTATATTCACGTCCTAATTGGAATTATTTATTATAGGATAAAATAGCCAGTGTATTATCGAATACGATACCATTCTGCTTCAAAAGAAATCAATGCTATTTTATATTAAAAATATTGACATTATTTTTTGACCAACCAAATAATTATAAAATGACGATGACCTCAAGTTTCTGCCAAATGAGATCTTTTATATAATATAACATATATTTAAAAATTGATAATTATTTACAGTTATAAAGCAATAGATTACTATTTATTAAAAATACTCTTTGAAATATTTTATTGAATTATAACTAGTATATTAAACTAATAAGTTCGCAATAAAACTTCAATGATAGGTTACAAATTTTTATTATTAAATTATTATTAACCCTTTGCACTCGACGATCTTTTGGCTAGAGAAAAGTAGAAAATCAAAGATTCTCCACTAAAAAACTGACGATACTTTTTTGAGCTGTAAATAAAGAATTGTATAATAATAGAATTGTAAAATTATTTGATTTCGATACTTCGAAATGCATACTATTACATTACATTAAATTTGATATATTAATTAATATCGATCTGCCAAATTTTATGCAATGGTGACTGAAGCTCACCTCTCGAGTGCAAAGGGTTAAATATATATATATGTAAGCCTTTCTTTGTTGTTTCTCGCTATTTTTATTATCTAAATTTCAAAATCCGAATAAGAAACAAATGACACAAAGTATAACCCAAAATTCAGTCTAAATGAAATATACACTTCATGAACTCCCTATTCATTTATTACATCTTTGACTCCACCCCCCTTATCCATCCACCTTAATTTAACATTCATCAAATATCACCGATTCGACTGACTAAAATCAATCTTCCTTACCTCAAAATTCGTAACACTTATTACGATGTTCATCCAAAAATTCGACTACAAGAAATATCCATTCATCCACGTTGCTCAATCTGCGATAAAACAGCCGCAACCTCAACGATCAGAAGCTGAAGATTAAAATCTGAAATCTTCGAGGCACGATATAAATGGTAACGCGACAGTTGCACTAGCAGAAGAGAAAAAAGAAAGAAAGAGATCTACGAACTAGTTTCCACCGTCTTCGTTGCTCCTTATCACTACTGGCGAAACGAAAGTGCAATCGAAAAATCACTTTCCCCTATGCGACTTTGCAAACTTATTACATCACGTGACGGAATTTACACATGACCACGTGCAGTGTAATAACGCCAGCCAGGTACATATGATCGCGTGCTGGCTACCGATGTAACAGCCTATCGTAGAAAGCGTTTCTGACCGTTTCCGGCTCCCCTTAGCTACCGACGATGACACGTAACGAGCAATAACGAAGGAGGATTGCCTTTCAGAATGCGGTGTGTCCAATCAGGAGGATCGAATCGTCGGCGGGCGACCAACAACCCCGAACAAATACCCCTGGGTGGCGAGGCTCGTGTACGAGGGTCGATTCCATTGCGGAGCCAGCCTCGTTAACAATGATTACGTTCTTACTGCTGCTCACTGTGTACGTAGGTAAGTTTATTCAGCCTTTTCATTTATGCACGATGAATGTTGCTTTTCATCATACCATTTTCACCATACCATGCCTCCTTAAGAGTGGTTATGGTCTGCTTGGACGTATGGTTGTTGATATGGTAGGCAAGGTAGGTAAGTGGTTAGGTTAGGTTAGAAATGGAACGCAGAGATGTAGCAGCGTTGTTGGGATGAAAGGATTTCGAAGTTTCCGTGGCATACTTTTTCTCATGGAAGTTTACTATCGCGTGGAATGCTTTGATAGAAATGGAATGCTCAGGTGTGGGGATTTTGTTGAGACGAAGGCATTTTGAAATTACCGTGGTTCGTTTCTTTGTACAGGAGTCTGTTTGCGAATAAAATGCTTCGGTTGAAATGGAATGCTTAGATGTGGGGATTTTGTTGCAATGCAAGCATTCTGAAATTACTGTGGTAGATTTTTTTTCGTGGAATCTCTTAGCGAACAGAATGCTTTGGTAGAAATGGTAATGCCGAGGTGTGGGAAGTTTGTTGGAATGGAAGCAATCCGAAATTACCGCGGCATGTTCCTTTCATAGGAGTCTGTTAGAGTATGGAATAGTTTGGTAGAAATGGAGAACGCTGAGGAATGTTACTGCAGCGAAAGTATTCTCAAGTTATTGTTGCTTATATTTTAGAAAGGCTGTTGCTGTATGGAATGTAGCGTTAGAAATGGGATGCTTTGATATGAAAATATAATTGCACTAGAAGTATTCTACAGCTACTTACAGTATTTTCTATTTTTGGTGAACTTCTTCATATAAAATCAAACACTGAAATTAGGATGTTTATGTAAACTATAGTTAATATTTTTTAAATTGACAGTTCTGTTTCCGAAGAAGAGTTTCAATAAATTTTTATTATTTTAACATGCACTTACGTAACAAAGCTTCGAAAAATATCCAAAATTAATTCAAGTTTCACTTGTTTTCAGGTTAAAGCGGTCAAAGATCCGTGTAGTACTGGGTGATTACGATCAACACGTAAACACCGACGGACGAGCCATAATGAGAGCAGTAAGCGCCATAATTCGTCACAGAAATTTCGACATGAATTCGTACAACCATGACGTTGCGTTGTTGAAGCTTCGAAAATCTGTGAAATTTACCAAAACTATCAAACCAGTATGTCTGCCTCGAACAGGTATTAAATGACAACCAACGTGTTCAATTTCTCATCAAACGAACCATGAATTCAAAAAAATAAAACACTTTATCAAACAAAATTCTATATCCCCAATTTTATATAAATTTTCTATTTCCATTAAAAATAATTTAAAAAAAAGTAGATATTCCACATTGCTGAATTCAAATTTTAACTCTTCAAAGAAAATTGTAGAAGTACGCGTCAAGAGCGTTCACCTTTAATTATAGTCAACCATGTTGACACAAGTTTTTAGCACTTTTGTGACCAATGACGTAGCGTTGCACGTTTTCATGAAGACAAAGCCTTTGTTAAATCCTTCTACGAGTATTTTTAAAAAATTTTTCTTTTACAAGAATCTTCTGATATTTCTTCCTTAGGATAAAATTATAAATGTTTGACACTATCGTTTATTATTAGTGTCAGAAAATAATCTAGATAAACTAACTGATCTCCCTTCTTCCTTTCAACAAAGAGACTCACCAAGTTGTTTTCAGGTAGCGACCCAGCTGGTAAAGAAGGCACCGTGGTTGGCTGGGGTCGGACGTCAGAAGGAGGTACGCTGGCTGGACAAGTGCACGAGGTGCAAGTGCCGATATTAAGTCTGATACAGTGCCGTAAGATGAAATATCGAGCTAATCGAATCACGGACAACATGCTTTGCGCTGGTCGGGGCAGTCAAGATTCTTGTCAGGGTGACAGCGGCGGTCCTCTTCTTGTGCAGGAAGGCGACAGGCACGAAATAGTTGGTAAAGAATTAGTATAACATCCGTTTATCTTGCAACTGTCATGTTCACTTTCAACTTATCACGATTTATCGTTCAGGAAGTCACGTAATTTTTCCTTCTTTTCTTTCTTTTCTCTCGTTTTGTCGCTGAACGAGATAAACAGTTGCTGTGAAACAGATGATGAAGATTAGTAAAAATATTTAGTTTTGAGAATAACACAACTATCTCTTCGATATATTTTATACATTTGTTTGTAACTATGACTTCTTTTCTTTTTTCTTTTTAATGAATTTTAAGGAGATAGCAAATATATTTTTGATTTAAAGGCGAAATTGATTATTAATCGTTAAAATGATTTGTATGTCGTTTTAGATATGACTGTTTTTAATTTTTATGTGCGTTAATAGGTATAGTTTCTTGGGGTGTTGGTTGTGGAAGACCGGGATACCCTGGAGTGTACACAAGAGTAACTAGGTATCTAAACTGGATCAATACGAACATGAAAGAAGGATGTATATGTGCAAATTAAAAGACATTGACTAATTGTCCAGGACTGTACCTGTGAAAATCGATCTACGTGAATCCACGTGTTACCTTAAGGAGAAACAAAAGTATTTCGTAGTTCTATGAAATTATTTATTAATTTACAATTGCTGGAAGTCATTCTAATTTTACTAATTAGTAAAATATAATCCTGGAGTCCGGAAAATAAATTGAGAGTGCAAGCTACAGAATTGTTTAAAAATTCGTAGTTGTGCTAAAATAAGGAACTCCTGCAGACTAGTAAGTTAATGACTCAATAAAATGTGCATTAAAGACAATTTTATGTGTTAACAACAAGTATTATAAGTAATCGTTTGGTATTACTGCACTATACAACTTGTACATAATATGTTAATAAATTGTGAGATTAAAATAAGTATTTAACAATAACCAAAAATGACGAACAAACTGTTACAGAAGTAAGTTTCGCTAGCTATTAATATTTTTAAAAAATAATTCATTTTAGAATCATCGATATTGTTAAAAGGTTCAATTACTCGCTTTACACGAATACAAAAATTTAAAAAAAATGTAACGTCGGAAAATACAATTGACTTTTGATAACAAAATTGTTGATAACAGAATTTGTATGAAATTTGAATAAAAAAATTTGAAAATTTTATTCAAAATGGTCGTTTTCTTGCTTGATGCTTTGATGTATAATTCTCGTATTTATTATCATTAGTTTTCTATAAAAGAAAATTAACAAGGTGATTGCTTCTGAAAATGTCTTATTTTATAGCTATAAATGTAAAAGTTGTAATAGCTAGAAGGTATTGTATAATTCGAACCGAGCTATGTCACATCTTTAGTTGCGTGAATGGCGGCCGAACGTTGATGGAATAATCATCAATAACGGTTTTCTGTCGAACCACGATTAAATTAATGAAGCGAACATTCTGCTGAAATCGGGGCGACAGCATGTGCATCGATGCACTGTACACGTTTCAATCCATCTCAATGTTTGCCACGTGCAATATATATGTTTAATTGCGTAGACGCTTAACGTCATTATTGCAATTCTTTCTTAGAAATTAATAACGTTGGTCAATACTGTTTCCAATTGTTTCCATCTTTTCGATTTCGAGTTTAATTAATTTCGTAATATCGTAATTGAAAATTGAAATACCGTAAAATCTACTACAGCTTAAAATTTATTATTCTAGACCTACTGTAAAAGAATAAATTATTAAATTAATAACATGCAAATATTTTTTACTTTGGAAATTAATTGTTTCAATACATATATTTCAATTCGATTAAAATAATAATATCAAGCAATATTAAAAATGATATTGAAATTATTTGCATAATATTGCTATAATAAAATTATACAATTTAATATACTATAATACAATATAATACAATAATACAATTTTTATATTTCTCTAATAAAATTTACGTCTTACACTTGAATAAGAAAAAGAAATCCAAGCAGGAATTTTTACAATAACAATTTTTCTAAACTACCAATAAAAATTGAAAACCTTTTTATTTACTTAATAAACAAAATTCGACTCAAAATGAATAACTTTACATGAAATGTCTATTTTTAGTACTCTTAAGAGACTCATTCGTATTCATTCATAGATATGACGTTATCCAACAGCTATTCTTGTAGTGTCGTTGGAAAAATATCGATAAAAGTGAATTCTCGTAGTGGTATCGTAAAATCCAGAAGAGCTCTTGCCTCTACCACACATTCGAGGTTGCAGATAAACGACGAACGATATTACATGTATCGTAATTTAGACGAAAGTGGAAAAACCAGACCTTAATGGACATATCGAACGGTCTCGTCTCTATCTTGAACCGATGTCGCATTATTAGTACAAAACGTTAACGGTTGAACGGTACTGGATGACGCGACGGGCTTACGAATAATAAGACTTTTGCATATAATAAGATACAGACGGATAGTCATAAACGTCTTCTCTGAAATTTGCATAGTACATTCGAGGCAATGATTTTTGGCCCCGTCGAATAGGCGAAGAAGAATATTTTCTTCATAAGTATCCTGATATGTATTTCGTATAATTGAACACAACATGACGCATATAAATGATGATAAAAATAATTCTGTGTCATTAAAAATTTATACGTATACTTATTTATACTAAATAATTAAATTTATAATTTATACAATATTTATATTTTAATTTTAAATTTATATTTTATACGATAATTAAATTAATTAAATTAATACTAATAGTAAACGATTAGAATATATATATACCTTTTACAGGAAAGTTTTCTCAGTATTAAGATACTTGCACTATTGAAATGTGAACATAAAAATGTAATATTGTAAATCGTAATTAATATGCTAATATCATTACGATCAAAATTGCAATTAAAAACAGCTGAAATTTGAAAGACAAATATTTTTTATCCACATTTTAAATGGTATTTGTTAAAAATTAAGAGAACAAAAATTCCTACCACACCAAATACTATTATTTACATCAAACGCTGTTATTCAACACCATATTATTTTCACAATTATCCAGAATATTAGTAATCTTTCACAAAATTAGCTTTCATGCCTTGTTCGATTAGAGACGTAACTATATATACCTACTTACCTTCGTCATACCACTTCGCCAATTATCATTTGTGTGCAATACATTTACCCGCACATTGCACTCCTAATAGTAAAACCATATCACTGATCATTTTCACAAATGTATCTGAGATAATCAGATCAAAAATATGCCTATCGTTGTAAATAAGAAACACGTCAGAATTTTAAAAAATTCGAGTTTTCTCATCGATTGAAGACGTATTTATCCAAAAAATAAACAAGTAGTTCTATATGTTTAGAAAGTTTATATAATTTATTCGATTATTAATAAGAAGAATTCACATCCTGAAGTTGAAACGGTAATACCTGGAGAAGAAAAATATGGAGTATGCGACGTTTTTCCTTCGAATCGCACACTCGACCACGTATTTCGAACCTGTGCCCAAGCCCACGCCTATGGAGGGACACGAGAAACGAGATTGCACCCATCGATGGAAACCGTTGAAAAGCTAGCGTGACCCTGATGACGGTCAATAACAGTCATCCGTAATTCGACCCTGAACGTGAACCCGAACTGGTCAGGTACTGTCCAGTCGCCGACCAGTCGGTCGTGCCCTCCTTCTCTTCTGGAATAGCAATTACCTCTTCGACCTGAGTCGTCCTCAGTCGCCGTGGGACACTGGCGATAGTAACTCCCAGCCAGGGATATGTCCGTAACTCGTTCCTGACAGTGCCCGCGCGGCGGATCCTTCATCAATAGAATCCTTCCTTCGGAACGTGACGCGTGAAACTTCGCACGGATAATACCGCGAGCCGAATTTGATCACGGAAAATGAGGTTCACCCGGTGCCTTGGATTACTGCTCGCCCTGTCTCTGGCCTCAGACACTTGTCAAGTAAGATCATATGCGTGGTAAAGTCTGCTTTAATCGGTATATCGACGGTGGGTCAGAGGTGTACATAGAAGTGGTAATTATGGAAAATATCAAAGTTTAAATCGACTTTAAATTTTCTCCTTTTTTATTTTTCCAGGGAATCAAAGATCATTTTGTTATTACCCCTTGTATGCGCGAATTTATTACTTTGGGGGTATATTACATACGAGATTAAGTAAATAGGAACTTAGGATTTATTTGGGAATTTTTTAAATTTTGAATAGTGCGTGAAAATCGTGAGTTTGCTGTGAGTTGGCATGATTTAATTGATTTAAGGTGACACGATACGAATGAAATTTTGTGATTAGGAAAGAAGTAACGTTTTTCATGTTGATTTTGTTAGACGATAGTTATATCGGTATATGTGAGTTTATAGAGAAATATTGAGTTACGTGAACTTCTAGGCAAGTACTTTCGGTGAGAAGGTGAAAAACTTTCTTGGCATTTTCGGTAATAAACCACCATATGCTGTGGAAGCACCTGGGCCATGTTACTGCAGTGAGTAGAGCTCTGTCTCCATTAAATCTACCATAAATAGAAAATTACTAACAATTATATCTAATCAAGGTAACGAATGATATTTAACATCCTTAAAATAAAAATTATACTCGATTATGGGATACTAAAAATACTTTTATGTATATATATCCATCTAATTAGAATACCTATTAACCAATCATCGCCTAATTCGACCTAGATCATTTAATTCCAAATTATAATTATTATCAGCTCCAATTGTAAAACAAAAATTTGAAATTTCACTAATAAATATTATCCATAGAATAAATATCTGTAGTATCATAATAGTTTTATAACATTTTACTATTTCACGATCTAATTACAGTATCTATTTACCAACTATCGCCTAATTCGACCTAGATCATTTAATTCCAAATTATAATTATTATCAGCTCCAATTTGTAAAACAAAAATTTGAAATATCACTCGTAAATATTATCCATAGAATAAATATCTGTAGTATCATAATAGTTTTATAATATTTTACTATTTCACGATCTAATTACAATACCTATTTACCAACCATCGCCTAATTCGACCTAGATCATTTAATAATTCTAAATTATAATTATTATCGGATCCAATTGTGAAACAAAAATTTGAAATATCACTCGTAAATATTATCCATAGAATAAATATCTGTAGCCATAATATTTTATTATTTCACGATATTAATCAGCCTTAATCCTCTCTGTGTACCAAGTTCCAAGGTCCATCTTGACATCAAATTCCAATCTCCTAGCGTTGTTATTATTTTATCTCTCGTTACCGTTAACTACGTTCCCCGTTTAAGAAAACCAGGCTGCTAACACGTTTAACTGTTCAAACTATTAGGCTGCGGCGTGCGAAACGAGGAGAGCCGAATAGTCGGTGGTCAAACAACTCGCGTGAATGAGTTCCCGTGGATGGCCAGGCTTTCGTACTTGAACAAGTTCTACTGTGGAGGGACATTGATAAACGATCGTTACGTCCTCACAGCGGCTCACTGTGTCAAAGGGTAAGCATCAGCCGAAACAGGCAATCGAAACGTGTCACTCGATGATCGACCGTGCAAACGGATCACGTGTCACGGTTTGATTTACCAGTCACGAGTCAGTGCTCCAGAGAAGCATGATGAGCTTTCCTAGCTCCGTTTTCAGGTTCATGTGGTTCATGATCAAGGTCACGTTCGGTGAGCACGACAGGTGTATCGAGAAGGGAGCCGAAACCAGATACGTGGTTAGAGTGCTAACCGGAGATTTCAGCTTCCTCAATTTCGACAACGACATCGCTCTGCTTCGTCTCAACGAGAGGGTCCCATTGAGCGACACCATAAGACCCATATGCCTGCCTTCGATTAGAGGTATGACTTTTTTGCCTTGTGAACACACGAGTAGTCTTCTTTGGATCCTTGGATCCACTTGCACGAGTAGCATTTGGAGTAGCATCTTTGGATCTACTTGCACGAGTTATCCTGTAAATGGTATTGTAATATTATGTAATATTTAAGTACATATAACTTACATTATACCGTAATATCGATTATCCGAACGTTCCATTATCAGAAAATTCTTTCTATGTAAATATTTCTATTTAAGATAGTTCGCATTCGCATGATTTGGTGTAGAAATCTGTAACGATTTAATTCGGGACTGTAATTAATTATGATGAAATATCGTCGCGAGGAAAACGTGTAATAAGTGTAAAATTGAAAAGTGGAAGCCTTCGCGAACCATTGTGACCATTTTTTCATGCGAAATTCCATTTTGACAACATGTTTCACTTCAAATATACGTAGTATATGTATACTACTATGTAGTTCGTTTTATAATAGCAAAATTCATTTCTCGTCACATGCAGAGATGTTTTCGAGTATGTTAATTAGCATGTGTATATAGCGAATTTTAAAATTTGACTTTACTTTTTTTTTTCTCCTATTTTTCCATAAGACTGGGTCTCATGTGTATCTCGAGTTAACGTAACCAATGATATAATTGTTAATTAATTTTTAACTAATTAATACTTTCGGATATCTCATAATAGTGACGTGTTTCAACAGTACTAACTATATTTCGTACCAACCTTTAATTTTTCAAATGATAGAAAATACCTCTCACATTAGATTTATAATTAATATTGCTATTAAACCCTAGCAAATCTAAACATCGAAAGTCTTCGATTTTCTTGACATTAAACGTATCAAACTGAGTAAAAATAATTAATCTATAATTAATCTACCAAGACTCGTACAAGTTCTACAAGCAAATTTGCCTAATCTCCATCACTGGACAGCTCCAAGTACGAAGATGATAAATCCGTACATCGACTACAGTGGTTTCGTATTTAGCAATGGCTGCTTAATAAAACCAGCATAATCCAAGCCTATGAGCTATTGCTATGTTAATCTTGCAACTACGAGCTAACACTTTCACAACAGCGAGACACAGTCCAACAAACGATCCTTACAACGAGCACGTTCAGACCACCTCGCACTTCCTTCTCCACGACCATCGAAACGAGAGCCAACAGCTGACAGATACTCACTGTCTGTCAGAGATAACCGACAGCATACGAGGAAACAATACCAAAGCGAACGGATAACATCGACACGCGAGCTATTACAACGATTTAACGCCTATCGTTGCCTGGTTCAGTCAATGGTCGCGTTATTTATTGTTTGGTTCATTGCGCTGCTGAATTGCAGGCAGAAATTGGTCAACATACGGGTCCCTCTCGCGAGTGCTATCAGACGATAACGGAGCATTTCGAATGATGTCCCGATGCAGAAGCCGTGGCAACGATCGTTACCGAATTGCGTAATTCGCGTCAGGTGGCTAGGTGAAAAGTGCAAGTGGATCAGAATATGCGAAACGTATACTCGTGTACCAGCTATAGGGTATCTCGCGAGTCTGTCCGCATTGCATCGCAATCTGGTCTTGTTTCTCCCGCTCGATGCATATTTCCATCGGCGGAGTATACGGGCCGTGTTAATGCTTTCAGATAAGCTGTACGATGGAACGAAAGCAATCGCGTCCGGCTGGGGTACCCTGTTCGAGGATGGCAAGCCTTCTTGCCTGCTGCAGGAAGTCGAGGTACCGGTTATGAGCCTTCGGGATTGCCGTAACACGAGCTACAGTCCGCGTATGATTTCTGATAACATGATGTGCGCTGGATACCTCGATGGCAAGAAGGATTCTTGTCAGGTAAGCTCTAACTTCGCTATCGCGATAGTTCGTAAAGTATGTATTATCGAAACGAGTTATCTCGTGGATTAAGTTTATTTTAGGCAGTGAGAAGATTGAGTCACTTTCTTCCAACAGTTTAATTCTAGATGAACTAGATATCGTAAGTAGCCTTTGCAAAATAAAATATTATTACGTGGTAAGATCAGGTTAACCATTTGGAAACGGAGCAGTTTTGAGTCAATCGTACAGTGATAGTCATCCAAAACTACCAGCGCTCATTTCTGCTTAACCGTTTGAGTTCCAAGCAGCGCTTGAAGCTTTCGGAAGAACATGGTCGAAAAACCCCGAATAACGCGATAACGCTTGCCTTAATCGAGTGTGAAGAAGTCCAAACGGTGCGATAGCGCTTGTTTAATTTTATGTTGAAAAATCCCAATCGTCGCAATAGCGCTTGTTGGTACTATGTGACGTACATGCATCGGCAAAGTTGAGCGCGATCGCGCTGTTTGGGACTCAAACGGTTAAATGCGATTTTCGTTCATAGCGATCATAGCTGGCAATAAGGACATAAAACAGTCCACCATTTAACTTGTGCACGAGTTGATAAGATTATGCAAGCTCCGCTTATCGATAAAGCGGCATGAGTGAGGAGCACGTAGCAGCGATAACCGGAGTCTCAAATCGAAGCGGCGATCCCCTTGATCTTTGCGACGAATGAACAAAGGAGGCCCACTTTTGAAAGGGCAGCTCGAGAAGCGAACCAGAGAGTCTTACGCGAGAGAAGAGAGCGACGTGTACTGTATCGAGAAGAATTAAGTAAAGCAGGCATCGAGAGTTAGAATCATTAGAATCGAATTCTCTCTCTTTTTCTCCCTTTCTCTCTTCCCTTATACTTGGGATAGAGTCTTACGCGAGAGAAGAGAGCGACGTGTACTGTATCGAGAAGAATTAAGTAAAGCAGGCACCGAGAGTTAGAATCATTAGAATCGAATTCTCTCTCTTTCTCTCCCTTTCTCTCTCTCCCCTTATACTTGGGTTAAGCCTATGAGCTATTGCTATGTTAATCTTGCAACTACGAGCTAACACTTTCACAACAGCGAGACACAGTCCAACAAACGATCCTTACAACGAGCACGTTCAGACCACCTCGCACTTCCTTCTCCACGACCATCGAAACGAGAGCCAACAGCTGACAGATACTCACTGTCTGTCAGAGATAACCGACAGCATACGAGGAAACAATACCAAAGCGAACGGATAACATCGACACGCGAGCTATTACAACGATTTAACGCCTATCGTTGCCTGGTTCAGTCAATGGTCGCGTTATTTATTGTTTGGTTCATTGCGCTGCTGAATTGCAGGCAGAAATTGGTCAACATACGGGTCCCTCTCGCGAGTGCTATCAGACGATAACGGAGCATTTCGAATGATGTCCCGATGCAGAAGCCGTGGCAACGATCGTTACCGAATTGCGTAATTCGCGTCAGGTGGCTAGGTGAAAAGTGCAAGTGGATCAGAATATGCGAAACGTATACTCGTGTACCAGCTATAGGGTATCTCGCGAGTCTGTCCGCATTGCATCGCAATCTGGTCTTGTTTCTCCCGCTCGATGCATATTTCCATCGGCGGAGTATACGGGCCGTGTTAATGCTTTCAGATAAGCTGTACGATGGAACGAAAGCAATCGCGTCCGGCTGGGGTACCCTGTTCGAGGATGGCAAGCCTTCTTGCCTGCTGCAGGAAGTCGAGGTACCGGTTATGAGCCTTCGGGATTGCCGTAACACGAGCTACAGTCCGCGTATGATTTCTGATAACATGATGTGCGCTGGATACCTCGATGGCAAGAAGGATTCTTGTCAGGTAAGCTCTAACTTCGCTATCGCGATAGTTCGTAAAGTATGTATTATCGAAACGAGTTATCTCGTGGATTAAGTTTATTTTAGGCAGTGAGAAGATTGAGTCACTTTCTTCCAACAGTTTAATTCTAGATGAACTAGATATCGTAAGTAGCCTTTGCAAAATAAAATATTATTACGTGGTAAGATCAGGTTAACCATTTGGAAACGGAGCAGTTTTGAGTCAATCGTACAGTGATAGTCATCCAAAACTACCAGCGCTCATTTCTGCTTAACCGTTTGAGTTCCAAGCAGCGCTTGAAGCTTTCGGAAGAACATGGTCGAAAAACCCCGAATAACGCGATAACGCTTGCCTTAATCGAGTGTGAAGAAGTCCAAACGGTGCGATAGCGCTTGTTTAATTTTATGTTGAAAAATCCCAATCGTCGCAATAGCGCTTGTTGGTACTATGTGACGTACATGCATCGGCAAAGTTGAGCGCGATCGCGCTGTTTGGGACTCAAACGGTTAAATGCGATTTTCGTTCATAGCGATCATAGCTGGCAATAAGGACATAAAACAGTCCACCATTTAACTTGTGCACGAGTTGATAAGATTATGCAAGCTCCGCTTATCGATAAAGCGGCATGAGTGAGGAGCACGTAGCAGCGATAACCGGAGTCTCAAATCGAAGCGGCGATCCCCTTGATCTTTGCGACGAATGAACAAAGGAGGCCCACTTTTGAAAGGGCAGCTCGAGAAGCGAACCAGAGAGTCTTACGCGAGAGAAGAGAGCGACGTGTACTGTATCGAGAAGAATTAAGTAAAGCAGGCATCGAGAGTTAGAATCATTAGAATCGAATTCTCTCTCTTTTTCTCCCTTTCTCTCTTCCCTTATACTTGGGACGCGAGGGTCTTAGGGCCGCTACAACTTCCGCATATTTGTGTTTCTCGGCCATAGCGACACGTTTACGTGGGACACACGTTCCTCGGCCAAACTGATGGCTTCCACAGAACGCATATATGTGGTGCTCGTCCGCAAAGGGTTAACGCCACGTCGGTCCCTAGGAACCAGCTCTAGTCTTTCCGTTCAGACCCCAACGGTCCGTATGGTCCGGAAGGGCCCGCATGACGGCTAACTGTAGCATGAACGGAATGGCACGTAAAATCGGCGTAGCGTTTACGTGTTAAATGCGATTTTCGTGGCAATAAGGACGTAAAATAGTCCACCACTTAACTTGGGACGTGCGGTCCTAAGGCCGCAACAGCGGCCATGCATATGTGTTTCTCGGCCATAGCAACGCGCTTACGGTTTATGGTTTCCGTCGAAAGCACATATGCGGCACTCGTCCGCAAAGGATTAACCCTTATCGGACGCTAGCTTTTTATACGTGATTCGCACTATATTATAGCTGGTTTCGGTAAATATGCGAAAAATTTTCGTCTTGTCACCTCCCACGTGGGGGATACACGACCGTAGCGACAAAGTATTGTTGTCACGCTGAAAAGTGACTTACGACCGATAAGGGTTAATAAATCCAAAGGAACTTTTGATTCCGATTGTATCTTATATTTCCTAATGGTATAAAATAAACGGAGGCTCGAGGTCTTCTATGATGCGTGGTGTACACGATGAGTGTTAGAAAAATGTGTCCCTTTGAAGGTTTCTGCCCCTCAACAAGGTTTCTATACGCTCCGTGACACCAGCCTACTGCGTCATTCAATCTAGCTTCGAGGAATCATCCAGCTTATCAATTTTCCTCGAAACAAAGATAGATCCTGTGACGTCACCCAAATAAAGATTCCTCTCGCAATTATAAATCGTTAAATTATTTTTCTCTGAAGGAATAATACGTTTCCGCGATTGTAACGCGGAAGCTGCAGAGATATCGTAGCCATCTATATTTCCTTGTTTATTTCAGGGTGACAGCGGAGGACCACTCATAGCTGAACGCGAGGATAAGAAATACGAGCTCATAGGTATTGTTTCCTGGGGTAACGGATGTGCTCGACCAGGATATCCTGGTGTTTATACACGAGTCACGCGATACATAGACTGGATCATATACCATTCGCAAGAAGGATGTTTCTGTGAACAAAATTAAGACCCAGAAATTCGAAACAGTAGATTTCTCTGTATTATACTAATTATCATTGTCATGCTGCACCAACGTAAATACGAGTTTGACCGTGACGCCATTGGTAATGATGGATGCAGTATGGGGCACGTTGGGATTTTGTTGATTCGCTTCGAATATTTTAATTCGTATCAAGTTTGTAGAATTTTTAAGAAATAGCTAAAAAGTAATTTTAATACGAGTATTTGCGTTTATCACGCGAGTATTTATTCTTGGTCTTTGATAAATCTATTCGTTGGAAAATAACCTCGGATGTAAGTAATATTCGAAGCGATTCAAATGTTTATTTAAGCAAAAATCATTCGTAAAGTATAGAGAGTCGGTATTAGTTATGGCGCATCGTATATATTTATGAAATACTCAAATATTTTCTGTACATTGTTTTTCATCTAACGTTAACAATCGTAAATTATTTACTGTCTCTGTATATCGCAGATATAACAAAATGAAAGACTAATTGCAGATAAAAGATCTAAAAGATCATTTAAAACCGAACGGGACACTATCTGCTGATATGCAAACAAAATTTTATAATCGTTTTGAAGATCAAACATGCTCAATAACAAAACAGTCAATAAATATTTCTATTATATAAATTACATTTGTATTATATAGTATATTATACTACACTTTATTCCGACCCGATACTAATTTTAAACCTCTATCTTTCTTAATACGTGGACGAATCAATACATTATACAAATTCGAAGATCGTCATTTTTCTCAACCAGTTCTCCAAAATCGACATACACGAAAACCAATAGATAATTAAATAACATAGAATAGAATACGAAAATCATATGCAAGAGTACTAAAATTAATAAATTCACAGAAAAGAATATAGATCATGTTAACCTCTATGGAACTCAGTTCCTACATTTGAAATCATTGCAAATAATTATTACATGGCAATCCATAATGTTTAACCACAAATAGAATGTCATTATTTCGTACAGTTCTCAGAATTAAACCTAACAGAATAAATTTTTCGCCCAAAACTGGCATATAGCTCACAGACCTCATAGATTGATACAAGATTGATAGACTGATACAAAGATACGTCGATACATGTTTACATACAGAGAATTGAGACGAATGAAAATCAAACTACTATACGTGTCAAACGTGTTCCATTTCCACGGTTTGGCCCATCATCCGATACCTGAAATCACCTAACGGTACCAAGCAACCGGTTACTGACCGGTTATAACTCAAACGAAAACGAAACGAGCAAAAACAAGATCGACATCCTTGGGTCGATGGGAGCCACGCGTTTCTGCGCTAGAGATTCAGGAAAGAACCTTGTATTCCTCGAGATGATGCGGGTACCGATAATCCCGCTATACGAGACAAACCGACGGTTTAACCGAGGCCAGTACCGTTTCGACAGCCGAGAGAAAAGCCATGAAGTTGAAAAAGTTCCTCAAATACCTCGTTTGCGGCCTACTGTTGGTGTTAGCCTCCGGGTCCATCCGCTGTAGCGAACTTGGTCCATCCGTAAGCTCATCTTTCTGCCCAATTGTGTCTCTAGAGTCAGCTGACTCCTAACTCCACTGATCGTCGACGCATTGTCCTGAAAGAAACCAGTCGCTATTACAATTCTTCAAATAGAGAGATCGTTTATTAATCTATTCTAATGTTCGTGAGAGATACATAATTTTCGTCATCGAATGATGCATTGGACAATTGCGCCTGTAATTACAAAAGTGGTCTAAGCTAAAAATTAAAAAACAAAATGAACATTCGCTCTCTTTGTTTTACATTCGTCTATTTTGTAATAACGTAAAGTTCATTTTGCAAAGTGGTAAAAGGTAGAAACGTCAGATGGAGTTTACGAGTGCGTGAAAATTATTTTCCAAATTTTTCCAATTTCGAGATAGGACATACGTGACCTAAGCCATTTTCACGATCACCAGCACAATTGCTCCAACGAATTGGACACTAGGAATTTTATAGAAATCAAGCTACTCGAATACAATATATATTTCTTCGGGACTCACGTGTTGTTTTCATCAGGACATTCAGCAAGGCGAGCTGCGACAAACACGAGGCGTCCTGGACTTCCTGTTTGGCAGGTTCAAAACTTGTGGCAATTGTCGTAAGGGAACGCTTGACGTTATCATGGCACAGGCGTTTCTTTTAATTTTCGTTCGTCATCTGCAGAATTTGTTTGCAGTTTGTGGACGACCAAATCGACCAGGCGAGACACGATTTCTTGGTGGAGAATACACGAAGGCTCACGAGTTTCCTTGGCTAGCGAACATTCACGTGAAGTCGCAACTGATTATCAGCGGGGTGCTGATAAACGATCGTTACGTTCTATCTTCAGCTAGTCAACTGACCAGGTTCGTAAACCACGCAGTTAAAAATTGAATTGGTAATTCGAAGACCTTGTCTACAGTGCAACTACGCCGGAAATAAAGGTGTCCCTTGGTGAATACGATCGATGTAATCTGGATGTGTCATCGACCACTGTCAGCGTTGAATCTTTGATCCTGTACCCGGAGTATAACACGGAATCTCATGCTCATAACTTAGCATTGATCAAATTAAGTCAACCGATTAAATTCGAGAGAAGGCTCTCGCCAATCTGTTTGCCAAATCCAGGCACGTATTTTGTATACTACTACTACTAGATCTGCTTAGGTCTACTACTTAGGTCTAGGTTTATGGAATTTTCTGGATTTAATTATGGCACTCATAACTGAGTTATTTTCTAATTTCGCGAGTCTTGCAACTTTCTCTTTGTCTTATGCATCACATCTTTTGTACATAAGTATATATAGTACCACAATTTTAAGTTTAAAACTTGCAGAAGAATATTTTTAGTATGAAATGTGAGTTTATATCAATTTGTAACGATACTCGATGCACGAATTTGCACTTTTACATTTTGTAGGTTCGACTTATCTTGGACAAGTTGGGACGTTGATTGGATGGACAATAAACGAAGAAGGAGATAAAAATAACCAAACTTGTCGACCACGAAAATTGGGCCTTCCAATTCTGGGCCAGGACGAGTGTATCAGGTCGGGAATAAATCTTATGAATTTTCACAACGATTCCGGTTGTGTTGGTGTATTAGGTGGAAGCTCTATTGTATGTGAGGTATGTTAACTTATTATTCAGTCACCACTTACATTTTATTTACATTTCTCCTTAAAATCGAAATTTTGTCAAGCAAGTACAGATAAAATTTTAATTGTTTAGTTACATTCACAAATACAAGTCAAAAAGAATTTATGCTCTCTTTTCACTTCATTGTTTTATTGTTCAAGAGTTAATAACAGCTTGTGTGCACAAAATATCTGAATGTATCTTTCAGAACGACGTTGGTTCTTCGGTACAATATCGGTCATATGCTGGAATATATGATCTAATTGGTACGTATGGTTTCTACGATAAAATCAATTTGAAATATGCACCAGTTACTCAAGTTACTAATCATAATCGATAATTATATCGCGATTGTCTTATTAAGATCATACGAATTTTTCGCAAACGATATTGTATACGATAAAGGAGTAAGTTGATAAAATATTTCATTTCACGACAGGTATAATTTCGGACGTCAATCAATGTGATAGCATTCCAGCAGTTTCGATATTCACAAGAATTGGTCCACACTTAAATTGGGTATTGCAACAAACCAAAGATGCATGCTATTGTTCAAAATGATAGTGTATCATTGTTTCGTGACACTTGCGTTTTGGCAAGGTTTTCTACATATATGTTAAATTATCAATTTTTATTATGTATATATAGTTATTTGAATCAATAATGGTTATCGCTTTAAATTTTTGGAAAAAATATATCCATGCCAGTAATGAATTTTGAAATAAGAAAAAAATAATTCTATCAATAAATTTTTTTACAAAGGACATTCTTGTGATATTCACTTTCTTGTATGAAATTTATTGCATACTCGATGTCAGAACTTACAATTTTTTTATAGTATATGCGTGTACAAGTGGACGGTATTTGCAATCATGACAAATTTGGTATAATTCCTAATAAACGTACAATAACTCATTGAAGTAGTCTGGGTTTGATATAAATACATAGAAACACGTACAAACACCTGAATATTTTGTGCATTAAACTCGCTTAAACCTAGTACATATACATAAATAGTTGTATTGCTTAGATATTTTCAACATTAATGTTAATGTGTCCGAATTTTCTGAACGACAAATATGACATAGGATTATGAATCCTATTCTGGGATCATCTTGGAACATAACATATAATCACATGCTACATTAAAAATAAAAATTATGATTATGATATATTAATACTGTAATATGCAATATACATATATCACTGAAGGAACTGTTTGCAAAAATGTATCATATAATTCTAGTGTTTTATACTTATGCAATTTCTCAAATCTGTGAATTGGTATAACACATATAGAAAAATCAATAAAATATATCAAAAAATAAGGTATTGCATAAATTTAGTCTGAAATTATTTCTTCTGTAATCAGTGAAAGATATAAAAGCCCAAATAACAATTTTTTATCAATGTTATTATTTCACTGACCTATATTTATATTTACATCATTGCTTGCAATTTGCTTTCTGTAATAACTTGATTAAACTTAATTAAACTTTGAAAAGATGTAATTAAAAGACTTAAAAATAAATTCGGAATATAATATGCGTATATAAAACTATCTATAATATAAATTTTAAATTCTAAATGGAAAGAAATAAATAATTATGTAACATAATATAACGAATCTTCTAATTAATTCAAAAGTATAAATTTAAAACTACATGTAACTAGTTATACAATATTACAATATTATTTACGTGTAAAATTACTTATGTATTCAAAAACAAAATTTTTATTTTTGTTTGTACAATACTGATACGAAATAAAAGTTATATTTTGCTGTATATTTGTGTTGTAATATTTTTATGAAATAAACAAAGGTTTCTAAGATAAAGAAAACATTGTAATAATCAATAACAGTTTACATGGATTGAGAATATACATATAGTATGTAAACAAAGGATTAAAGCAGAAAATTATCATTTCATTATCTAATATTCGAAAAAAGAATGTAAAATAATATAAATTGAAAGCAAGCAAAATATGTAACTATTATAACTTATATCTAAACATTATATTATTTACCAATAACAAACTCTAATTTAATAGCAATCAGTGGAACTCTAACAAATAGTTAATTTGTTAAAAATAAACTCATATTATCATGAAAGTATACTTGAATACAAAATATGTTACACGAGTGCTATTATACAGTTGCTTTAAAGTTTCAGATACATGCATTAATATATGACATGGGTATGAGTGACATTTGCATTACACTGTGATGTAACCGCTTCTTCTAGTGTACAATCTAATTTACGATAATTAACGGTACTTGGTCGTCGTCTACCGCGGCTATTTCGTGTTCGCCGTCCTTCCAATACAATAGCGAATATCTGTAATATAAAATATCAATATATTAATAAGAGAAATGAATAACTGCAACTTCTCAAATAAAAAAATAAGGGAAATATTTATTTACCTTTTGCTTATTATGATAACCAATGTATGCAGCTATGGAAATCAAAGAAACTGCAGTGAAGTAAGTAAAAAAATGAGACTCCTCGTCTGTTCTGATACTATGATAATGAGATATGATATCTCTTTGTTCAGATGGTTTAGGTATACCTTGACCTTGGTCTGCTATTGATATAAAATGTTATATATTTAATATAAATACATAATATTAAGATTTACATAAGATTTTGTTAGATAATTTTTTATTTACCTGTATCAATAGACTGATCAGGTACATCATCTGGATCTAACAGTAAAATATTAAATTTAAATATATAATAGATAACATATTATACTAAAAATTTAAAACATGAATTAAATTATACCATTAGATAATTTGTCGTCTTCACGATTCCATTCATCTAGGTTAACAGTATTTTCATGATCCTGAGTATTTTCTGATAATGTACTTGTTTCAACAATTTCATTAGCTTCTTTTTTATTTCCAGCACCTACGTTACTTACAGGCTTTTCATTGGAATTCTCCAATTTCTCTTTCTCAATAGTAGATTCTACCTTTGTTTTTTGATTTGACGGAGAGGAATTAATATTATTGACAGTACTTTGCTCAGATTTATCAGCAGGATATTTAGTGTTAGTTTGCACTGCTTCCTGCGATAATGGTGCCTTATCATTAACATCAATAGCTTTATTTGTATTTGGTTTTTCAACAGTATCATTGCCACTTTCTTCTACTATTCCACTAGAAGTTTTATTTAGTATTGTATTAGTATCTTGTTCTTGTGTATTTTGTTTTACACTTGTTACAAATAACTGGGTATCTAATATATTATTTGCAGACACTGTTTGTAGATTTTTACTTATTTGTTGCATATCATCAATGCTTTTACTCCACACTAATATTGCACAAAGTGGAACAAATTTTGCTGTTACACCAAAACATGTCAAATAGCATACATTAGAATTGTTAAAATCTACAAGTGATAATAATGGTTTCAATTTTGTATATGAAAATTGAATGTCTTTATTATTTTTACAAAACTTAGCCTGATCATCTTCTTTCTCTCCAGGAGAAGATTTCTGAATATATGAATAAAATGTAGTCACATTATTAAATGTGTTCTGGGATTGATTAAATTGGCAAGCTTTATACCATGTATCATAAAATGCCAAACATAAAAAGGTACTCGTACATTCTAAATCACATTGATGTGACTTTTTATTATTTCCATCAGGATATGTTATATTTTGACAACTCTCTGTAACATTGTTTTCATACAAAAATGTTGGTATTGTACACAACTGTGTATCATTTTTCATTACATCTATAATGCTACGTTTTGCTGGTATACTTGGTGCAGTTGACACTTTCATAAAATAAAGAAAGAAAATGAAAATACTAAAACCAAAAAATGAACGAGTTGCGCGATTTTCCATTTCTCTTTTATATACTGTATCAATTTCGTATATAACTTATAATTTTTTAGTAGTTTTTTTAACACATATAATACCACAAGTACTACGTTTTACGTTTTTGCACTTAGAACCAACATAACCTTCCACAATCCAATTTATATGACACAAAACTAACCACACATTTAATATCACGCAATTTTACATACACGCCATCTTTCGTCTTGATTAGCTGCACATAACCTAAAAAACCATTTTGATTTAATTATTTAAACATCTGTACTTTATATAGCATAAAAAATGTTTTGATATTAATATAGTAACTAACGTTGCCTTCATTTTTTTCTCATGCATAAATGTATATCATTCCATTCAAACAAAAATATATAAATATGCTCTTACGATGACATTAGTTACTATTTTTAATAATGTATATGTAAATTATAAAAATCAATGTTGATCTTTACGGTCAGCAAATGAGAGCAAAAATAGGAATTTCATATTTGTTAGGAATAGAAGCATATTATAATTGCAACACAAACATTTCTTTCAGTATTGAATGAAGTAGTAAACCTTAACTAAAATTATCAATTGACGCGCTGCATTCAAGTGCGTCATATGTTTCATTTTTATAATAATATTTATATTGAACGATGTACTTTAAGATAGTAGCCGTCAAAACAGACAATTATTGATAGTTCTCCAATACCTATTCCATTGAACAAAATTAAGAAAGCTACCACAAAAACAATTGATGTACAATATATGTATATGGTTTCAAAAATTAATTACAAGCAAATTTAAAAAAAGCATTTATGATGACCACGTTAAGTTCTATAAACAACCCGCTTTTAATTTGCTCAATTCCTTTTAATACAACTACAATCATAAGACACCCATAATAATATTAATCTCGGTAGCTGACCACCATATACATATAATAAGCTGAACTTCATACTTCAATTAAATATGATTTTAATAAAATGAATTAATGGAAAACTTCACACAAAAGAAATTTAAAAAAGCAGCGAGTAGAGTCAATAAGTAGTTATTACAATTTTATACAAATTTTGTATGACTTCTATATATCAAAGAAGTAGTCAATATTCATTAATTTAAAAAAAAATATCAAGCACATATTTAAATATGTTACCTTGTCTTCCATAAAAATAAATGTTGAAAACATCTCCTCCTCGGTAGTATAGTGGTCAGTATCCCCGCCTGTCACGCGGGAGACCGGGGTTCGATTCCCCGCCGGGGAGACAATATTTTTTTTCACACATTTTCTGTTTTAATCAAAATTATTATATTTTTTCCTATATTATTATTAATAAAAAAAAGAAAAGAAAAGAAACTCGATACTAAATCTGTTACACGTAGCACAGTTTTATCACGTCTTTCCATGTTAGCTTTTAACTATCTCAAATAATTAATAAAACTAGGAGAATTGAGAAACAAAACGCCACAAATTATAGTGGGCAAAATGTAAGGGAATAAACGATTGTCAACCTTCCTTCGCAAAGGTCTTCTTTTAACTGCCGCTTCTTTTCCTGAGAAGGTTCTGCACCCTTCGGTCAACGTCGCATCCCCAAACATATACCCAAGTATTATTTCCGAAACATAAACAGTCAGAAACACTGCCTGTCGCAGAGTGGGGGTAAGACACCCAAACGCGGCACAAACATTTTGCAGTTGACGTCACATATATATACCTTATTTTTGTATTGTATGCATCTCAAATATATATGTAAGCTGTTTCTGAGTTTCTTCTTATCAATTTTGTTAAGAAATATTAATAATTTTATTAATTAATTGATTTTTAGGTTGGAAATATGAGATTTCGCAATTCATTTTGCAAACTCTTTTAATTTACTTAAACTTACTTAAATCTTTGAGATTTTGTACACAATGGTATTTCAATAAATGGCAATAAAGTATTCAAAATTGGCTCATATTTTCTAGAAATGTTTTTTAAATGGATCTTTGTATAAAAACTAATAATTTTGTATTAATGAAATAAATGTCACACGTATAGGACAAAATAGTAAGGAATAAATAGTAAATTACTCAGATGAGACACTTGATGGTGTTTTAACTTCTTTCTTACCATCATTACCATCATCATTTTCATCATATTCTTTTTTTGTTCTTTTATTATTTGATCTGGCGTGATTAGAGGCTTCTATATATTACTTAAAATGTTACTAAAATATTCGTAGTATCGTAGGCTTAAGGATCTTAAACGGAAAAGCCATAAAAGAGAAAGCGTGTGAAAGTGGACAAGACGAAAACCAGACCTATTGGGAAAACCGTTCATGGACGAACAGCCTACCGATGGGTCTGCAATATTTTCGGCCACTGAAAGAATTAGGGTTGTTTAAAAGACAATAAGGGAAAGCGAGGGACGATCCTTCCGAGAGAGAGAGAAGTTTTGTAAAACTTGGAAGTGAGGGGTCGAAAGAACTAAAGAGAGCAGTTTATACCTGATCCAATGAGAATTGGCAGGAAATATAATCAGAAAGTTTACGTGATAAACGCTGCGGCCGCAGATAAATACAGAACGCTTTTCAATGGTCTCTATAAAGGACACTCGGATGACGCTGTTACAAGCTCGAGCGGAAGATCGCACATATTTTAGACCGAACAAGTATATTTAATATTTTTTCAGGGGTTAACGCTATTATTCGAACAAATTTTCCGCTAAAGTCACGTAGGACATAGGTACGTATTTACGAGTCCCACTGCTTCTAGAAAACTCGCGCTGTGGGGGGATACGACGGCTATTCACTAGCCGAAGGGGACTTAAACACACACTGTCACACTAATCAACATGAACGGAAAATTTTTAAATTTTTAAATTTTCCGGTCGTAAACGCATATACAGCAAGGTATATACGCATACGTAGCCCTATTGCGTAGGGATCTGAGTATTACGTTTCGGCCCTGTTCTGGTCACACATCGCTCACGTGCAGCTCTTTATCTTTTATACCAGTGCTCGTTGAATCGTGTTATAGAATTTTTTGTGTCGTCTTTTATTTTTATATTGTTGCGTTTCGAACACTGTAATTCCCATGGTTGGAGTTTTGCTTTTTGTAAGGCCCGTTACGCTGTTGTGGCAGTGCTGAAAGGATGTGGTTTAATCTAACTTGATTAATATAGATTTGGTTAGGTTTTTGAATGATTGTATTGAATCTTGTACGACTAATCTCGATTGAATATGATTAATTGAGGTGTATCTTGCATTGAATATTGAATTCGACTCCATCAATTCTATGTCTCATTGTTCTTATAAATTTCGGTGTGTCGTGATTGTTTAGTGTGAAGTGTGAGTGAGGGGTACGTGTTTCCCTATTGCTTATGTGTGAGTGTGTATCGGTTTCGACGTTTATCGATGGCGATGGATGTTTAAATAAATTCTGGCCACTATGCCCATCTTTTAACGGTGATTTATTAACCTTTAATAGGGACTGGCACAAATGGTGCCCTGTAACCCGAGTGTCCGTGAGTCATGGGACGCTCGTAATAAAGAAATAAAGCAGTCTCCCACTTGACTTGGGACGTTTGGTCTTTGTCGAAATCGGTGACCCCTCTATTTAAATAATTACCTATATTTCTTAATATATTCTGTATTCCTCTTTGTAATACATTTCGAAATTCATTTTGTAATATATTTTGTAATTTATTTTAATTATTTTGTTCTATATTTTGTACTATATTTTAATCATGCATTTAGGTACTGGTCTCGATTACATAGCTACCTCTACGTGATGAGACCTGGTAATTTGCATCATTTGTCAAAGATTTTCTTCGGTGTTTCTTTTAAAATATATTTTAATGAAACATTTTTGGATTTTCCAATAAGATTTTTTTTATCATATGATGCCAAGCTAAGAGTAACCGTAGTAACTACTTACCTACACTAGTTAGGATATCAACATAGACTTTTGGTAATTAGAAGACAGACTAAAATAGGGAAATTTATATTGGGATTAATATTATTAAATGATCTCTTCTGTATTAATAATGCATTGTAATGCATTGTATGATAGATCTATTTCTCAATTCATCTTCGAATATATATAAGATAATCCTTATCAAAATAGTTCCTCCTTTCTTGATAGTATATGTTTAATATTTAACTCTCTTTTCGCAGAACAAGTACATATATATGATAATTAGAAGTTCATTAGGGTTATTTTTTCACGAATAATATTATCATAAAGGAAGTATATGCTTCTCTCAAGTGAGTTTAGGAGTTTTTGGTTGGCTCCTTGACATGTTTCACAGTGTCATTAACAGATGGCAGTAGTGACAAATTCTCATCAATTTTTTTCCACTATAGATTTTCAAAAATCCATAATAATCTATTGTGCATGTAAAGAATTTAATTAAACTAAAACAATAATCAAAGCATAATTAACATCGACTTCTAACTATTACTGTACATACGTGTCCTGCCACCTAGTAACGAATTGTTCAACTATAAAAGCATTTTACTAGTGCACAATGCATAAAAACGAAATTCTTAAACATCTGTGTTATAAAAATCGAAACATGAAGAGAATGTATTGAAAATCAATTTTTATTTTATGAATTATAATAAAAATTATTTCTACTATGTATATAAATTTTTTTTCTACGTTTTGTAATACAATATTTTAGTGTATAAAAAGATTGGAATCTTTTGTATTCAATAATATATATCGTATTTCTAAAAATATATAACAAAATAATGTAATACATACACATAGTAAATTCTTTTTTAATAACATACTTCTTGAAAGAACATGTATATTCACGGTTAAAAGCGAACAGGAGTATTTTATAGAAACTAAACTAAGTAAATAGGAAGGATTTATTAAAATTTGTTAAAAACGCGAATTTTACCAACCAACTCTGTTTTCAACTATGAATCAGCGATTATTTAACACTTGCAAATGTGATATATATATAAGATATATATTGAAGTAAATTCCATGCCTAATTATAGATGTAGTCAAATGTACTTATCATTTGATTGCTTATTTTCATTATTTAATGCATGGACATCTGCAACACCCGTATTTGTTAATAAAATAGTAACCGAAGAATTTCCCTATATAAAACTAGTTCCAGATGTGCGATGGTGGTGTAGTGGCCAGCATAGCTGCCTTCAAAGCAGTTGATCCGGGTTCGATTCCCGGCCATCGCAGGTGTTTATTTTTC